TGCCGAAAGTATCACTACTGACCCGATTACGGATGATATATGAGTTCATTACACGTACTTTGTTATGCCTAAGATGGTCGTTGACGGACGCCATGACTTCAGCGAATGATGATTCAGGAGGGCAAAAGATATTGCCAATGTACATTTGAATCGTTTTAACGGGTTTCATGCCCATAAAAAGTCTGCTCCTGTTAATCCTAGCATTAGCCGTACGTTTAAAATTAAAACATTGCTCCGACTCCGTACTTGTCCTCCGTGTTTGTTCCGTGCGTCTTTTAGATTTCCTACTCTGATGCATAATCCAGTCATTATCTCCCTTTGCAGGCGGGGATTTGATAGCATCCGCGTAAGACGCACTCGAAGAATTTGTACTGCTACTTGCTTCCAAAGGAAGCCGCGAAGTTTTCCCGTTCGGCCATGCCTGTTTTGTGTTGTTATTGTTTACATCCTGGTTAGGCTTACATGAAGGAGTCTCTGATTCGGCGCTCAAGTTTTTACCACTACTCACTTTCGCGCCTTTTTCTGGATCACCTTGATTCGAGGATAGGCCTTGATTTTGACTGCTTGTAACTTGTAAATTGGCTCCATTTTCAGATTCGATAGAGTCTATAGTTATGTAGGAGCAATCAATGACCTTGTTTAGCCTGTCCAGTTCAGCTTCACATGATGCAATTTTATCGGCCCTGGATTTCGAATCCGTCTCCAAATCCTGTACTTTTTTGCATAAATATTCAATCTTAGCGTCCCTGCTCTTCATCTCTTTCTTAAGATCAGTCATTTCAGAATGTAAGAGTTCAAGTTTAGATTGCAAGTCGAGAAACTTTGCATCCATTGGCCTTTGTTTTTGACTATCCAATATATTCTGTGACGTTGTCACATCTGGGACAACGCTTCTGGATGTGACAACATTTCTTGGGAACGTTGTTGAAAGACCTGATACGTAAACGTACATACCGTAGATATCGTCTCCAACTAAATTCAGCTTTGATTTCCCGTCCCGTCGTGTCACCTTTTTCAGCACAGGTTTATTCCCACCTAAATCAGGTCCATATTTTTCAATGCATTCATTCAATAATTTCGTCTCGCACGATTCGAACAATATATCTCTACAGCTTTCCAGTTGATCAGCTTCAAAATCCATCAGGAGTTCGTCAATAACGTCATCTTTAGCCCTATCTTCCACTGTAGTAAGGACTCTTACAATATTTGCATCTATCCTTGCAAAACAAGACAAAGCGTCTCCGTGATCGACCGCGTTCGCCATCTTGGAATCTATGCCTCTACACTTCATGGTTGAATTATGACCCTAATAAGTGGCCTATACATCAATACAGTGCTGAATATAGGTCAACAAGATACTAGTGTGCATATAAATGTAATAATTGAAGCAGAATACTCATTTTGAAAAATCAGATGAATTATTTTTTTCCCATGGGGAGATCCCAATGGAGGGTGTATAAGGTCCTTTTGGCTTGTTATTAGTGTCTTGATCTTAAGAATTTTATTCAAAAATAACCCCTTGGAAATGAAAGGGTCAATTTAACAACTCTGTAGCCACCAAAGCTCCATAATCGTATGATCCGTATTTCTGACACTCCGCTTTCAATTATCCGAGGGGCGATCAGAAAATATTGCACCGTTGGCTCTTATTTCATCAATATTAACTCTTTCTACGTAATTCTTTCACACAATATAACTTGTATATTGAACATAACACTGACAAAGTTTCATTGTTTTTTGACATCACATTTTCATGTTATTGGTTGCCATGGTTAATAAGGTAGTGTCAGGGTGGATGTGATATTTTATTATGTTTTTTTCAATTGTCGACAATCACTATCCATGCATAATGTCAAACATGTATTCCTTAACATTTTCTTATGTTCACATTACTCCTGAATCAATCCTACACCTACACACCAGCTACACACTTTCTATTACCCTTGATCCAATCTTCAAATACATGGATCCGGAGCAGTCCATCTTTACCGACTTTGTAGAATTCATGGGTAAACTGGTGGATAATTTCCTCACTATTTTCAAATTGAATTTCATGTGAATGGTTTTTAATTGTTGGAAAAAGATATAAGTCACATCAAGCCAAATCTGGGTATGCTGCATGGCTTACACGCCCACAACCAATTGTATCAATCTTATCTTGGATTAGATTTGCTCTATGTGGGGGCACATTGTCGTGATATATGATGAAGACGGAACTTCCTGAGAAAGCAGAGGCCTTGCTTCTTCCAGATGGTATGCAGAAAATGATTTTGTATAACCTACTTTCAAGACAATAGCGTGTCAGGACACACGATGACATCATATCTATGACATCACATTGACATAAAAAGTACCTGTAAATCACAGAAGTGAGTAACTCCCATAATTATGTCGTATTCTTTCGTATTCATGATTTATGATATTATTCATGATTCAATAAATACTATTCAGTTTATACTGTCTGTATACTTTTATCCTCTGTGAAACCTTTCATTCATCAACGTGAAGAGAATATACAGGGTGGGCCAATAAAAATTGGAACATTTTCCTTTTTATTCAATTTTCTTTATTATTGCAGTTCAGTTCACAAGAATTCAGATAATGGTAAAATGATTATTTGTGAAAATGTTAAAGATACAAATATGTGTGTATGATTACTTTTGGCTTGTCATGGTCGTGATCTGTATACTGTGTGCGTCATGAAAACTTTCCAAATTTTCTCTGCTTGAGACATCATTGCTCAAAATATAGTATCTCATACCATACAATATATGCCCTTGAAATGGTCTCAACACAATTTCCATCAATTAAAACATATGTAGTTATCTCTAGGAGATGCTAGACATGTCTCCCTTGGATAATATAGATTAACTGACCTCAGCTTATTTTCAAAACTGGCACAATATGCGCCCACCTGAACAATCAGTCTTGGCTGTATTTGACAGTCATACATGGCTTAAATCACAGGTTTTGAGACATATTGTGCCAATTTTGAAAAGAAAGCTGAGGTCAGTTAAGCTATATTATCTAAGGGAGACGTGTCTTGTTTCCCCTAGAGATAACTACATATGTTTTAATTGATGGAAATTGTGGTGAGACCATCAGACCATCTGAAGGGTGCATATTGTATGGTATGAAAGATACTGTATTTTCAGCAGTGATGCCTCAAGCAGAGAAAATTTGGAAATTTTTCATGACACACACAGAATACAGATCATGACCATGACAAGCCAAAAATAATCATACATACATACTAGTATTTTTATTTTTAACATTTTCACAAATAATCATTTTACCATTATCTGAATTTTCATGGATTGAACTGCAAAAATAAAGGCAATTGAATAAACAGAAAAATGTTCCAATTTTTATTGGCCCACCCTGTATGCACTGTTGATCACTTGGTTCCTAATTGATATACATGTCAATGTGCTTGATTTTAGGAAGTATTCTTCCAACCTGGTCGCAGCCACTTCCGCGAAATAAAAGGCATATATCGATATATATTATCATTCACAGGAGCATTAATTCTTACGGTTGTGTGAAGTGATTTCATTCTGGTAATATGGGAAATATTTACAACCTAATGGTAGAATATATTTTACACAATACACTAAATGTATGTCTGGCTCCAATGATGCAACCCTCTTTTTGTAAAACAACTTTCGAATCACAGTCGAACTTTAGCAGCACTTTTTGTTTTGATTGAGTGCCAAAATGAAGTAAACAATGGGGTACTATTGGTTCTATTTGGTATGCACCTTTAAGTTTTATAGAAATTACAAATACCTGTAGATGTTCAAATTGTGATTTCTGCCTTTGCCATAATTTGAGTCATTTCTGAATCGTTGATATGTCCTATATTCACACTTTCTTAGGATATCCTTTTTGATAAAAACTGATACAGCTTTCTGAAAATTCATTTTGAACGATTTGAAGTGAATACTAGTAATGCATTGATTGATGCATGGCCCCCAAAGCAGGTTGCAAGACAAGAATGATTCCTCCCTTCCTGACGCTGATTTCATTGTCTCACATAAGAGCGCTTAACTTAGAAATATCGATGCATTATTAGTTGCTAGGGTCTAACGATAGCACGACCATTGTTTTGGATAATATTTTAATAGTTTCTGTGATATTCATAGAATAGCATGTCAAAACAAAAAAAAACATTAGTACGTGGCAAGTGGAAAAATACAATCGTTTTTTTGCACCTTTCCACTCAACCATCTGATACGGCACGATATCCTTAGGTTTATGAATTTCTGCCCGATAACACATGCTTTACACAGTTATAGATTATATAGCATATTGAAAATGAAATGTACGATAAAATAGTAATAAATAATGTATATATGAATCCCGTTAAGTAATAATGCCTCGACATGACCACATATGACGTTAAACTTTGGATAATTAAAGGATACACCCTTGTTCAATTATTTGATTTTGAAAAAATCCAAAACATTCGGAGACGTGATTGCAAATTGTAATGTCCATGACAATGTTATCAATAAAGTATCGCCGCAAACTTCTATGTATATGGCCTCAATGCAATATCATGATTGACCACTGGCCTTCAACATTGATTTTAAATGAGTCTGTTACATCCTCGCTCAGGATGACCCTTGTCTATCCCTTTTATATACTTTGGGTAGACAATGTTATACATCCAGAAACGATACAAAATGTTAAAAAAAACTTTTGTGGAATTTCTTTTTTCAAGGATTCATCAAATGTCGGTTAGATAGAGAAGGTGAAGGACATGACATCAGGGCATTGTTTCAAGGTATTAAAAATAAGTAATTGACAATCAAGATGCATACTACATATCATGTTGTCCGAATACATCATTTTCTTCCTATTCACATATTTATCATTAAAGGAAAGCTCGATGAATAAATATTTCCTGCCGATTAAATAAATATGTTTTTCTCGTTTGTTACATTAAGGAAGTAAGCGATCAAACATACCTGACGTTTTTATTGGAACTTTTTTATAACGAATATTAACATATTGGTAATAGTAAAAAGTCAAAGGATAATCCAATGTGTAGTTTAGATAGATATGTTTCGTACTTCAGTCTTAGTGATATTATACCTTGTTAGTGTTATATGCATCTCGGCAAAGGAAAACCGGGGGGATTACAAATGGAATATTCCCAGGGACGGCGATGATGAGGATATCCCGCCTTATAAAGGGCAAGTGGACGATTCGACGGATAAGATAATGTTAAAGAAGCAACAGAATATGCGTCGTAAAATGTCAGTAACGTTTCGCAAACCTAAAATGACTAGACCCGGAGGAAGATTGACAGAGAGGAAGAGAATGTCTGACCCGAGCTTAGATTTGGATGAAGGGCCCATACTAGATGATCTCCTTTACAAAACAGGTAAACATTTCGGATAAAGCCATCTGTAAATTGCTTTGGTAATAAGACATTTTCTTAATCGAAGCTTCAAATTTAAAAAGCATGGAGGGTAACGTTTATACATTATGATGTTTCAACAAATAAGTAAGTAATGAATTCTCTCTTAATACAAATAAGGTAAGCTTCATATCGACTTAAATAAGCATGACAACAATACAAGGCAAAATGCAACTATAAAAGCTGTTGACATAGCGTTCCGGTAAAATTAGCATTGTCATATATATGTTGTTCATATATAAATGATATATTAACAATTTTAAAAGTGCATTTTAAGTAAAACAATACAATTATTGATGTAGGGTACAATTAATTTACACATTTGTCATAAAAGCAATTTGTTTCGATTGTAACGTTATTAATCGGTCCATGAAAACAATTAATAATTTGGTCAAGCATATATCTGTCACTACAAAATCCGAACCTTATCACAGGAATGGCCTGTAACATTGAGACAGGTGCTATAAATAAATGAACTATGATTCCCCACCCAAAGTCAAATGGATGTATGATTTGATTCAACATATTCAATATTTTGAATATAAATGTAATTTTCAGGAAGGATACGAGTAGATAAGAAAATGGAAATTGTATAAACCTGAGGTTCAACTGAATTTCATTGGAAAGACATCGTCACTCCTAAGTTTTCTCAGTCAATTGCAATTAGAACTTCTAAATCGGTACATATTTAATCAGAAATTGGTATCGAGATCCATGGGGATGTTTTGACCTCCATTGTCCTTATGGCCGTGATGATATGCTATATTGATTTGTCTCCTAGAAAAGGCAGACTACTTCGTTAAACCCAGAGCAACAAACTCATTAGTGCATTTAATGAGTGTTTTATCACTTTCTCGTTGACGGATGGATAAAATATAATAAATTGAAAAAAGTAGAATTCCTACTTACCAAATCTATCCTACGAGACGTACTGTTTGAGGATGATAAGAGTGGACACCACGAGAACCTTACCTCTGAAGAAAATAGAAAAACATAGAAAAAGTATATCATAGTACTTATCATGGGCTTTCAACAAGTTGAAAGCCCATGTACTTATGAATAAAAACTTTATGGAAAAGTTTTGACATGACAAAGGGAATGGTAAATAATTCAGGATCATATTAGTATTAGTTCTTAAAGTGGAACGACTGGTACTCCTTTTTTTCAAAACAAGTGGCATGTAACGAAAAGCTGACAAATGATTAACGAATACCATAATCGACATCGCCTCATACAATTTAAAATCAAGCATTATTCTAAATGACACGATGGACAGTTATAATAGGATTATGGTAGTTTCAATGTGATCGCTCGTGGTAAAAATTCCATCCATCAAGCAACGTCAAATAATTCTACTTATCATTAAACTCCGTTTGGCAAGCTGTGATATTAATGTAGGAAGTGCCAGGACATACACATTGTAGTAATATGAACATTATAAGTGCAGCTAAACATGAACATTTTACCCTACATATATCCATGCGGTTCTAGCATCGACCGTTAATTTGAATTTTTGATCTACCAGATGTTTGAAAATCAAGGATTATGAGTCTCATATTGCACATTTTTCTTCAAACTTGTTCCATTCTAACCATAACAAAAATGACTTTCTGTTGGAACATTATTCTGTTATACAGAGTCACTACTTCCAGCTGCATTTTGGCCCGCATTTTGGTCCTCAGGTGTGAGAAGGGCTTCTAACATTTAGGGACCAAAACGCTGCTAAAACGGGAGACTTTTCACAATAAAGCATTGTACCGACAGAGAGTTTTGTTTTGCTTTGAATGGAACAAGTTTGAAGAAAAATGGAGCAGTATGAGACTCGCAATCCTTAATTTTCAAACATCTGGTAGGTCAAAAATTCAAATTAACGGTGGAAGTTAGTACCTCGTGGGATTTGTATTTCCATCATTGACAATTTGCGCATACCTTATGTGGGGGGGGGGCTTATGTTTACACATAAAATGCAAAATGGCCCAGCGAAATCTTTTGAACTATAAAAAGATGGTTCTTCAAAAGTCACATTTTGAAATTACCGCCACCTTCTCGACCGCCCTTTTTAACCTAGCAGCGTCTTGCCTTGTAAGTGGAAACTCTACTTTCCTACTCTTCTTTGCAAATTATCCCTCTCGTGAGAATCTCTAAAATCCAGCAACAATAGAATATCGTTTTGAATAAACATGTTACATAGAGTATGCATATTTTTTCTTTATTTGTCAAATTTTCGAGATCAGGTAAATTAAAATGACGTCTATTTGAAAATTCACATGACTTTGGGGCATATCGGCCAACAAAGATTATAACACACAAAAATCTGAACAAATGAACAAGAACAATTGATTTTCAAACACAACGATTATAACATTTGGTTCGTACCTTATTTCCTTCCGAAACATATCGAATGACTAGAATTATAGTAGGGGTTATACTTTATCTGTCTAAGGTTTGAACGTCTGTGATAAGATGTGTGTGGACAAGTCTTGTAATTCATTAATCTTGGTTTTAAAACCCATGTAATAGAGGGTGGGCTGTTTTGCCCCACCCGTGAGCCGTTTTGCTCCACTCTCAACATTGTTTTTGACTCCTGAAAAATCACAGAAAATAGTACTAGACAAGTATAAAACATTCGAAAATGTAAACCACAACCCATTGATAAATTGGAACATCAAAGTGAGAGGTGATTGACTGATAAAAATACCCCGTACGGAAAAACTTAAAATTTAATTTTTAGGGTCGTTTTGCCCCATGTTTCCCTAATTCCAAAGTAGGTCGTACAAAGGGGACAATCAATCAAGATAAGTATAGGATCATTCAAAAGGTAAACAGTCGACCCACATCAGTTTAGAGGCATGCAAATGGACACTCAATCCTAATGAGTATAGGGCCATGCAAAGGGATACTTAATCCTAATGAGTATAGGGTCGTGCGAAAGGGACACGCAATCACAATGAGTAAAGGGTCGTGCAAAAGGGACCAGCAATCCTAATGAGAAAAGGATCACGCAGAAGGGACACTCAGTCCTAATGAGTATAGGATCATGCAAACGGACGCTCAATAATATTAAGTATAGGGTCACGCAGAAGGACACCAAATCACAATGAGTATAGGGTCATTCAAAAAGGACACTAAATCCTAATGAATATATGGTCATGCAGAAGGGACACTCAATCCTGATGAGTCTAGGGTCGTGCAAAAGGGACACTCAATCCTAATGAGTATAGGGTCGTGCAAAAGAGACACCCAATGACAATGAGTAAAAGGTCGTGCAAAAAGAACACTATACCCTAATGAATATAAGGTCATGCAAAAAGGACACTCCATCCTAATGAGTATAGGGGCGTGCAAAAGAGACACGCAATCCTAACGAGAATATGGTCACGTAGAAGGGGCACTCAATCCTAATGAGTATATGGTCATGCAGAATGGACACTCAATTCTTATGAGTATAGGGTCATGCAAAAGGAACATTCAATCCTAATGAACATCGAGTCATGCAAAAGGAACACTCAATCCTAATGAATATCGAGTCATGCAAAAGGGACACTCAATCCTAATGAGTATAGGGTCGTGCAGAAGGGACACTCAATTCTAATGAGAATAGGGTCACGCAGAAGGGGCGCTCCAATCAGTCAAGAGTCATGCAAAAAAGACACTCAATCACAATGAGCATATGGTCGTGCAGAAGGGACACTCAATCCTAATGAGTATAGGTTCATGCAAAATGGACACTCAATCCTAATCAGTATAAGGCTGTACAATTTAGGAAGACACACGATATCTTGTGGATCAAAATCTGTCAAATCTTTATTAACTTCGCTCAATCCCAATCAGTCTAGAGTCATGCAAACGGGACACTCAATCCTAATGAATATAGGTATATGCAAAATGGACACTCAATCCTAATGAATATAGGCATATGCAAAATGGACACTCAATCCTAATCTGCATAAGGTTGTACAATTTAGGAAGACACATGATATCTTGTGGATCAAAATTTGTCAAATCTTTATTAACGTGTTATTTATTATTTTTCAGGGGGTGGCCGTTGTGCTATCAAAGAAACGAAAGGCAGAGTGGTGCTTCCAGACAGAATCAATAGAAAGAACGAGCGCCGAGCGCATAGACAAAATAAGCGTAAGGGAGATCAGAAGAAAGGTCAGAACAGACTTAGCAAACGGTCTGCCGTGCTTACCGAAGATGAGGATGATCTTGAGCCAATAGTTGATCCAAACTTTTATGTCAAAATCCCGGTGAAAATCCATATAATATACTCTAAATATGGAGGCTGGATAACTGCACTAAAACTGAAAAGAACTATTAATCGTTTGAATAAAGCATACGAAGGTGTGCTTGGTAAAGTTGTTGGGCCTGATACAGGGATACGATTCGTGTTAGATGAAGTCAAAAGAACCGAGGACATGAAGATGTTTTTCTATTGCGATTATTACTACAAGGAACTTAAAGCGAAATATATTATTGAACCTGAAAAATACATCAATATTATCACCTGTGATCCATTCCATGACACCGCCGGCTGGTCCTCTTTTCCGCATGAAGGTCCAGAAAATTCCTCCATCCATGGATTATTTATTCATCATGAGGCATTCCCAGGTGGTGATCGGTTCCCTTATTGGAACCGTGGCATCACGCTGGTCCACGAGATTGGCCATTACTTAGGACTGTACCATACTTTTCATAACGAAAAGTGTCATAATGCAAGCAATCCGGAGGACGACGACGGTGTCTTGGATACTCCCCCTGAGCTTACGTGGGCGTACTGGTGCGATGATATCGGTAGAGATACGTGTACAGGGCCGGGAGAATCACTCCCCACAGTGCTTCCATATAAAGGTATAGACCCTGTTACAAATTTCATGGATTACATTGAGGACAAATGCATGGAGCAGTTCACAGTGGGACAAGCAGAGCTACTGCAAGAGTCTATCAAAGAGCGCAAGCCAACTCTATGTTGGGAAAATAACTGTCAAAAGACGAGAAAACAAATAAGGAAAGAACGATTAAAGGTCCCATAGAAAGTTTAAACCACTTTGGCTTATGTTATAGTATTGCCAAATTTTGTCAAAATGTGCCATGTGAAACTTTTCAAATTATTTTCAAAAAGTTGATTTTGAAGGACTTTTTGTTCGAAAAATTATGAATTTATTTCAAATAAAATTTTAGTTGTCACGCACATGTATCATTTGTAGAGCAATAATTAACACAAATGCATAACACACATAAACTATTTTATAAACATAAATTTTCATTTAATACTCATTGAATCTAATGCAACATAACATTTAAAACATGATAAAAATTTATTTCTAACCTACATAGGCTAACATTATTGTATTACTGCTTTATTTAGATTGAATTGTGGTTGAAAAATATACTTTTGTAACTTTTGCCAGATCATTTCGATGGAGCGTTTCAAAGTGTGATCTAAAAATCTAAACGTTTGTTACAAAATGGCGGGAAATTCAAGTATTTATTTGAAAATTTTAAGATGAATAACTTTTGTCACCTGTTTCAGAAATGTCTAAAATAGTTCATAGTCATGAAAGAGTATAGTGTACGAGTACATAGATTAAGAAAAAAAAGTTAAACATTTTGTGCGACATCCAACCATCCATCAACATCAATTCAATAATCGGTTTCTAGTAATGAAATAAATACATTTTTATTTACATTTTTGTATTGGTTTTGTATCTTGATTATTTATCCATTCAGCATTAATTTTCAGTCATTCTGCTCTGATGAATGAAGCTTTCAAGTTTTAGTGTCACATCTTTTTCAGAACCAATTAACTAAAGATCTTTGCATTAAAACCATTTTCCATTTCTCAAATATTTTAGGCTATCCATGGAACGATTATTTTTGCGTATTATCTCCTAGAAAAGTAAAACGTGGGTAATCGTTATATTACCCACGTAATCGGTCAAGAAAATAAACATTCATTTATGAAATTCAATTTGGAATAAATAAAAATGTTGCGCAACATGGTCTGTTTGTTTGCATCAAAAACTAAGCAAAGTCGGTGGTATCTAGCTGGCTTTGAGACTAAATCCATATTATAGTGCACACTGACTAATTCTAGGTATATGAGTCCACGAGAGATAACAATCCCCATATCTTAATAGGAAATTCCTTCTCAAGCACACTGTTCCACAGCTAGTTACTTTGACGGAACGGCACCAAGTTAGACAATATAGTCTAGCTTTTAGAAATGCTCTCGGTTTGGAATTTGATTTTTAAATAAAGCTGTCATTCATGCATTTAGACCATCGCTTTTGTTACATTGACGTAAGTCGTCAAAGTAACACACATTGGTAATATTACGGAATTTCGTCAATGTAACAAAAGCGAGGGGCTAAATATGTGAATTGCAACTTCATTTAAAAACAAATTCCAAATCGAAGAAAATATTAAAATTAGACTATATTTTCTAGCTTTGTGCCAAATTACTGCAACTTGCCTTATAAGTAGGTTTAAATTGAGAAAACAAAAAATCATAACCAGGAAGTTCATCCATTTCTAGTGTTACATTGACGTTCCGTCAAAGTAACTAGTTGTAGAACAGCGAAGCAGAAGTTATAATTTGAACCAAATCCGTAAACCAGAATTTGAATTTTCGTTCGGACAGACGAACAGACAGCCTTTATGTATCCAAGACCTTCAAAGGTGAGATACAATTAGAGGAATGTTAGGGAAACATGTTACAAACGATCAGTACATGAAATTGAAGCGTACTGTTATTCAGTCAGTCGATCATTCTCCAAATTCTCCATTGTTCATGCAAAATTTAAAATAGTATGGATTAAAATTTAAAGATCTAGAAAGCGCTACGAGATTTGATGCAGTGCTTTTTAGAGTAATGCAGACCCATTTCATACTTTCAAGTTTGGAGTAAAAAGTATTTTCATAAGAACAAATTAAACAACTTAGTTTTGAAACCCTTGTTTGACCCCTTACTCCCCCCTAGAAATGAATCCAGATTTGTATTGAACTTAATGGGGTCCGATTTTTGTAATTTTTTCCCTGAAATTTCCTGAAATTCCTGAGGACATTAAGCCATGTTGTACACTTGATTTATGTAGAACTGTTTTTAATCCTCTTATCAATTAGGATAAACAAAATTAAATAGTAAAAATCCTGTTCGAATTCGACAAGGTCTACTCAGAAAATACTAATGTATGTGATTAGATTTCATAAAAGTTCACTTCCTTGTCTAGATAACCTGATAACGCATTAAACATAAAACACATTGTGATCCTATCTTACCAACTCTTACTCTCAGACTCATACCGGAATACCCTTACCCTGACAACGGTAGTCAGATACCGTTGTCACAAATCGCGTACATAACCGTCGCTTCAACTCTTCAATCACTTGGTCCTCATTCCTTGGACTTTATCGTCGCTTATTCTGTACATGTATCAAGCTCAGGGTTCTCACTAGGCTTTTAGACTCCGGAGATTCTCCGGAGTCAAATGTCTTAAAACCCTCTTGCTCCAGAGTCTAATACCTTTTCCGGAGTCTAAAGTGTTTTTCCAGAGTCTAATTTCACCCTTTTGTCACATTATTTGTGGTAAAACTCTTGAGAAAATACATAAAACTGGACACAAACAAGGATTAGGAAGTCAGAAACTTTTTAGAAATAAATATAAGGATTAAAATAGCAAGATAATCTTAATAAGTATGTTGAATTGAAAAGTATACTAATAGGATATCTCTGATCTCACATGGGGGAGAAGTAGTCACGATACCGCGAAAAAAGTAATCACAATACCGCTAAAAATCCGGGGTCTAAAAATTTCCTGGTGAGAACCCTGAAGCTCTTATAATGGCGTATCATATGAAATCCCAATTTCGATCAAATTCGATCAAAACAGAATCTGAATTTGAAATCTACGAAGACAATGGCATATGCACTGGTCAGTATCAAGCGAAGGTAACGGCCTTTACATTCGCATCAAAAATGGCTAGATTATGAAAATCTGCTCTGATTATGATGCTGTCTGTGTGTCCCTTCGGCTGCGAAAATCGTTTCTTGTATATAACAGAGGCAACCACCTTGTATAAAGTCTTAAAAATACATATGAATTGACTAATAAGGGATTAAAGGAGGCATACAAACATGTTAATATCGTATTAAGCTTATTCCTGGCTCTCATCTTTCTTGCAAGCAAAAATATATCATCTCAATACATTATTAAACTTTTCAAGTCTTGATTTATTACCCGCCGATATACAAACACGTACACAGTACAAGGGTTATAAACGTATAAAAGTAAATAAAGTTGTGTACGTAAATAAAGCTATGGAAGTATGAAAGCATATTAATCTGTCTGATTTTATTTACTTCATATAAAATTATGAGTGTCCGAAAGGTGCGATCTCGATTACCAATGACGTATTAATCCGACAGTTATTGTTGGACATAACACACGCATTACTATGATTACACTTGATTAAGCAATATTTTTTATCAATATGGGGAGGGTGGATGTATGTTGTTAATATTATAGTTATACAGTTAATAACAATCTAAAATCACATTCCTTGCGAAACACTCCTCACTCGTTCAACCACAATGTCAACGTAATCCAGCTTTTACAGTACAGGACCAAAGGGTCCGTTTTTAAATAAATCCAGGGGAGTTCAAATGCGACAATATTGTCCCAAAGGCCAAAACCACTTAAAATGTGCTCAAATGGAAAAAAACTGAATAATTGTGAGTCTGGCCACGAACCCCTCGAGCCCCCCCCCTTTGCTGCGGGTCAGTCCCTGAACATTGATTTTTTACATCGGTCCCTAACTTTTACTATTAACATGACCTATCTCTATGGATTCCATTTTGTCTACATGCTTATAAGGTATTTTCATCTCTCGTCGAACAAAACAGCTTGTTTACAGCAGACTATCAAGGTTATCTTGTTTTTATTAAATAAACAGTTACACGAAACCGAAATTGGATTCTGAATAACAGAAACTACAATTATCAGTACTTCTCCAAGCATATTGTAGTTATCTCAGCAGGTATTTTGAACAGTGAACAGCAGACTGGAGAAAGGAATTCATACTGATAAAACGTGACCAATAAGAAACCGGAAAATATCAACGTCACTGGCTTAAAGGGAATGCCCTTGTTAACTAAAGGGGAAATACGTAGTGTTCTAAAAATAGAATGGGAAATTCGTGATTTTATTTCATTATAAACACTTTTAGTCATAGACAAAGAGCCCGAGTTGTCATGAATTAACATATTTCAAATCGGAAACTGACAAAATCAGAGGAAGAAGGGGACAAAATACGACAAAATTAGATATAACATAACACCAACATTGTATAGAATATGCTGAAATCTAGTGGACAAAAACAAGACGTTGTTTCACGATGGATTTTCACAATAATTATGGTAAGATTTTATATTGTGTACTGGCGTTGTTGTCTGTCTGTTAGTTCGAACATAAGTAGATCCTGGTTCTTTACTTAGTGCTAGCAAATGTTGTCATTTTTAATATATTTCACCATGAATCAATAATATAAGTTGTTTGATTGTCCAAGTCGTCATTTATATAATCATGGGCTTTCTATTGAATGCCCATGATATATGATGAAACCGATATGAATTCAATCTGATTTATTTTTTTATATTTATATGAACATGGACAATGTGTACAAGTGTCACATTACGACTTTAAAATGACACTGTGACAATAATTAGTACAATTTAAGACAAACACAGACGGTTATCACATTTCCACGATGTTACAATGTGACAATGCAAAGTCACATAACTGACAAAGGCCAACGGCCCCCAAGGTTTACCAGGAAGGGAGTACGTCATCATCTGGAAAAAAAACTCAGTCTCCATCATCGTAGCTTGCACGTGAAGCCAAGCTTCTCCACCAGCTTTATTCTTTTCTCCGATTTTTAGTCTTGCTTCAAAGGACCCTGGAGCTTTCCACTGCTTGTCACAACATTCAATAATCAACATGAGCCAAAGCAACACCTGCTCAGACCACAGGTCATGCTAAGAAACTGCAATTAAGAGCAGATGGCCAGACAAAGGACACATATCAATGGACCATTGGCTTCTTTGTTAAGTCGACCAAAGCCAATTAAGCCCCAGACTGTAGGCTGGACAGCTGGCTTCATCAGTCAGTCATAAATGTCAACAATCGAATCAATGATACCTGTTGAATCAATCACATGTTGGAGAAACGAAACCATAAAGTAGTTAAACTAATATTGTTTGGATAATTCTATTAACACTTTCGCAGTTTCCTGTAATCAGATTCACTAACACATCCATAAAGACTGACGCGTAACCTAATTGAGTCATTACTGAACCAAACTTAAACCAAACTAGACGATTGATTATCAAAGATATTTGTTTTGTTTTTATTTAGATAAACCTGCTGGTAGTAATAGAAGCGGCTATTGTACAAGACACCGACGAAGTGACCACAACTACTTCCAAAATGGAGGATGAAATTACAAAACGTACTACAACTCAATTTGCAACAGTCGCCAATGGGGAATCCTCGAACCAGATAGAAACATTCATATTCGCAGGCGCCTGTTTCTTGGGAGGTCTCATTCTTACAGCACTTCTAGCGCTGTTGATTTATATGAGAAACAAGAGAAACCGTCTCGTAAAGAAGATAATCGGGAAGAAAATTGAACACAATTCAATCGATATTGCAAACCCTTATCTCGGAGTGACAGATCTAAGGAAACCAAGTATTAACACTCCAGACACCGTTGTTTCAATACCTCAAAATAACAGGGAGACTATTACAAAACAGGTAATCCTAAATTCAGACAATGAGACAAAACTTCCTGATGTGATACAACCCGAAACTAGGAAGTCCCTAGAGCATGGTATCATAACCACATCAACCAGGAAGGTCATAGCAGCCCCGGTTTTAATACTGGAGGACGAATACCAACAAGGAAGTAAGCGATCTCGATCTATAATAAACCAATTCACTGGTTATGTTGGAAACAGGGGTGGTGAAATTAAAAGTGATGAATCAGACGTTTCAGTCTATGTTCCCAAAGGAGCGATACCTGTAGGTAAACAATGCAAAATAAAGGTATCAGTTTCGCTTGATTTTACAACATACGCTGGAAAACTGTTCAAGGAATACCAAAATGACATTTGGCTGACACCTCTAGTTGAGTGCACAATTGAAGGAGTTGAGAAGACAACTAGTCCGATTACTATTAGGGTACCCCATCGTGTAAACATCGCAGGTAGCTCAAAATGGAACATGAAGCTTCATTATTCAAGTGGTGAACTCTCGGAATCAGCATCATGGTGCGCGATGTCAAACAGCACCAAACACATATACACTGGCGTCAACTTTAACCACAATGGGCACTACTTCAACGTTATGACCACCAACTCTGGGAGTTACCTGGCTACAGGCCACGGGAAGAAGAATATCACCCCATTGAAGCTATGTACCTTGGTATATGGAAGCATAAAGAAAAGTGGACCGCTACAGGCTAACTTTCGCGTATACGTCTGTGACGTCATCAAAGATTCACTGAAGGTGAGAATTGATTTTTAATTGATAGGCGAGCTTATTACCGTTTATCCCAAAGTGTTGCCCATCTTTGTTTAATACCTTTGTTCAAGCCTTGACAATATATATTCATGTCTATGCTCAAGTATAGCACGTATTATCGACCTCTATAAGAAACAATATTGCATTATGCAACGGCACAAGACGACCTATGTCATGTATCAGTCATATATCATCAAAGTAGATTAATCCAGCTGTTTCTTTGGAAACTGTTTGATGCACTTATCGTAAATATTTACACGATGTACTATTCATTTATGCATTGTTGATATCGTTTTATTGTAAATATTTACGAGTTCAGTGCAGCATGACATTTCATTTTGAAAATACGTCTTAAATTAATTTACAATTTTCTCCACAACAATATAAAGGTTGATATCATCACCTAGTAAGTGTGATTGTAAATGGTTACAAAATGTAACTTTGTTTTAAACACTGATCACCAAACACTGATCCCAAAAATGATGGCATCAATATATTTCTCTTCTTATTGTTCTAATCAATCTAAGACATCGCCATCTTTTCTAAGTTTATGCATTATCTTTCAGAGAATAAGTCTGGCCGAGAAAGAAAAGTACAGTAAACTACTAAGCAGCCAAATGCCTCTGAATATGAAATCTGGAAAAGATTTTGAAATCTCTCTGTTGACTAAAGACGACTCTAACTGGCCATGGAAATTAGCAAATGGTCTTCCTAAAAAAGTAAGTACTTCAACGATAGTGACAAACATTTTTCAGTAATTTATGGACTAGGCTATTATGCGTTTAATGTTTATCCATTCCATCTTTCATCGTCTCTATGGTAACATGTAAACAGCTGCCATTATAAATCTCAGATAATTGTCAATCATTAAGGCTAATCTATAAACATGCTTCTTACAATTGAAAAACACTTTCTAGAGTACAACCTATTTAGTTATAATTAAAATTAGTATAGGCTTCCACATCTTTGGAAACATTTATCTTGTTTAGTTGCTTGGACTTCTCCAGATTCCAACCACTAATGTTTTTATATTCACATTCTTCATGTTCTTCTTCGTGTTTCCAGACATTCCCACTCCAATTCTGCTACAAGGCATCAACAGCACTACCATACGTGGAGTTTGTATGCGCACCCAAAGTGAGCAACAGTGATCTCCTTGATGTGCAGACGACATTCAGGGTCTCTCAGAAGTCATCAGGTCAAGATGACAACAACCCTACAAGTATTAAAGTAGCATTGAAAATAAAGGTAAATATACATTATTACCAAACGCAGATAGAATTGCATAACGTTTACCTATTTGTTTATAGGGCGAGATGCAAACTAAAACTAAATATTTATGAAACAATTCCATTTTATAAAAGATCTAAAAACAGCCTTTACACAAGTATCAAGATTTGAAGTAATTAAATTCGTGTGTATTTTTTCCAGAAGTTACAAACCAACAACTCACCATTAGATAAAGTCCCCACAGCTGATGAACAATGGACAATAATTACAACTCTCCACACACAGAACGTAAACACCTCAGAACTCTGTAGGGCTCTGGGTCTTTCTTCAGCTAGTATAGAAGACATCCAGAGCTGCGTTACAGATATGGGACGCACTAAACGTGCCATTGAGACATGGAGAATAGTATATGGACACAGAGCAACAATTGCTAAGTTATGTGCTAGTTTAGAAAATGCTGAGTTTTACGCATTGGCTGACCTGATTCAACAGAAATTCACGTTTGTTGATGTACCTTTGTAAATGTATGACATGAGGTTCATTCCAACATTCTCAAAGTGCCATACACCAACATACAATCCGATACAATGATATATATTTGTTTCTAGTATATAATATAAACTACAACATAAATATCTGACTTTTTAGAAAATGTTTAAAATATTAACCAGGGTTTTACTGATGCCTATTTTGCCAATGTTTCTATAAAGGTGCTTCAAGAACAATTGCAGTAACTGTGACGTGCTCCGATTTCCATATCTTCAATGGAATCATTATATTTATTGAACGTGTATGTTAAACATACTTATGTCACTGTCTTGTGGTATAGACTACTAGGATGCCATTTATCATGATAGGTGATTATCCTTAACAAGGGAATTCTAGATAGTAACATAACCTCCAAGTCCAAATACTAATTGAATGGACTAAGTACAGTATTAGCGCAACTTCATTCATACAGTCAATCATTAAAAAATGACATATGCCCACAGCGTTGTTCATGTTGAATGTATGTATCATATGGCTGATATATAATATGGCTACTTCAAAGCCATATATTGCCGAGCTTTCGTTTTGAAGTGGCTAATTCTAACTTGATCCAAATACTTTCACCATTGATGGATTTTGATACAGACTATCTCGTCTATAAATATCAAAGCTAAAGAATACTTATCCCGTAAATTTTTAAGTTAAACGATCATTTTGTAAAAATGTGAAGTTTGACTGTAATTCTACCTGTTACATTGATTCAATGAGGTCAAGTGAGAAAGCATTGCGCACGCAACAGACGTTTGAAATATCAGTCTTTAACCACTAATGTGTCCAGATGAATACAAAATTATATTTATATTCTACTCCAGATGATGATAAATATGCATTTTGCAAGCAAACACACTGGAAAGGGTGGGCCATGAAATCACATGGGAAGGGCACTTGACCTCATTGAATCAATGTAACAGGTAGAATTACAGTCAAACTTCACATTTTTACAAAATGATCGTTTAACTTAAAATTCTACCATGTTACATATTCAATGAGGTCACGTGAGATGTTTAAACCCAACAGATGGACACATTGTGTGATCAAAACACGGACTTGAATGAATATTTAGGTCCGTCATGAAAGATGCAAGGACGTGGATCTCGTCCTTTTTTGATGTAATCAAATTGATTAGTCAAATAAGTAATTACAAATAATCTTTGTTTATTACTTAAACAAGAAGTAACTAGTACAAAGTTAAATACATTTTATAACATATCAAATAAATCATAATAATACATCATACCAATCTTCTCTGGCTTTATTCTCTCAAAATAACCAAATGAACTACTTTGATTCAGTTGTTTTAAGAACACTTAATCCAAAAATGTCAGAATCTTTCTGCACAGGTTTATTGTAAAACTTTGCGAATGTACTACTGGAAGACCAACCTGCTGCCTTAAGAATAACATCTAGCCCAACACCTGCATTTAGTGCTGCTGAAGTAGACCAGAGCGTGTGGAATGAGACTTAAAAATATCGACATTAATTCCAGCATTTTTGATAGTGAGCTTGATCCACCTACTGATGGTGTCAAGAGATACAGCTGCGTATGGTTTCTGAAAACTAATGAGTAGCTGAATTTGGTTACCTCTTAGAGTGTCCGTGCGATTAATATAGTCTTTCAAAGCCGCACATACACATAATTTCACATTGCTATATCTTGGTAAAGTGAGAATTGGTAATGGTTTTCCACATTTTGATGTTTTTAAACACTGTGAAATAATAAGTTTATAACCTGAGTGTTCTTCGATGCAATTCTCGACTGTCAATGTATGCAACGTTTGACGACGTTGACCTGTAATTAACGCCAGAAGTGTCACTACTTTAAGCGTAAGCTCCTTTAATGATAAACGTTCATTGGGATAAAATGTCTCGAGAAAGTTTAACACTACTGATACATCCCATGTTGATTCATATTTTGGTAACGGAGGTCTGTCGTTGAACACACCCTTCATAAACCTAGAAACCAAAGGGTGATTTCCAAAAGTAACAGAGTCTTGTGATATAATGAATGACAACGCTGACCTGGCCGTATTAATAGCACTGTAGCTTAAATCGTCCTTATAAAGAGACGTGAGAAAATCGAGTCCTATGTTCACAGATGATTGAAATGGATCAATTTTCCGTCTATGACAGAAGTGTACCCACTTACGTAAGTAGACAGCATATTGCTTTTTGGATGCAGATCGCCAAGACAATAAGATGACTTCGGTAGTGTCTTTCGAAATTCCCTGGATTTCGATGGATCGCCGGATAAAAGACATGCAGTCAAAGTCATCTTTCTCCAAAGAGGATGGCGTTTCTGTTTGTCGTACGGTAGGTACAATAACGTTCTCCTTTTGGGTAATATCACTGGGATATCGATCAAGAGTCTCAGAAGTTTCGGCCACCATGGCTGTGTTGTCCACACTGGTGCTATAACGATAGCATTGGTTATGGCATCGTGTTCGATCTTCTTTAGAACTCTCGTGATCAAACTGAAAGGACAAAACACATACAAAGGTTCATCATTCCACTTTATATTCAATGCATCGATATTTTCAGCATCTGGATCAGGTTTCCAGGACACATAACGTGGGAGCTGATGATTCAATCTTGAAGCGAACATATCAATTACGGGAGATGGCCAATCAGACAGATTAATCAGTTGATTGAACACTACTTTGTCGAGCATCCACTCTGTTTCATCATGGAATACTCGAGATTCCTCATCAGCGTCAGTGTTCTTAGAACCTGGAATAAATGCTGCTGAAAGCCAGATATTTCTGAAAATGCAGAATTTCCAAATATCTTTTGCTAGGTTATCACAAGCAATCGATGTGATACCTCCCATTTTGTTAACGTAAGCCAAAGCCGTAGTGTTATCCGTTTCAACACGTACGTGGATGTGTGATTTTTCTCTACAAAAACATTTCAATGCAAGATATATGGCCATCAATTCAAGATAATTGATATGATTGGAAGCTTCTTCAGCTGACCAACGTCCACCTGTTCTAACAGAATTGGTGACACATATTGCACCCCAACCTTTTGTGCTGCTATCTGTTCGTAACAACATACCTGGATCTGTAACAGAAATTGGTTTAACGGATTTCGTTACATTATTAATCCACCATTGTAGGTCGGATTTTGCATCATTTGATAATTGCATGCATGCATCAAAGTTGCCTTCATTGATAGATAAAGACTTTGTTTTATTTCTTTCAAGATTTCTATAATGAAGCTGGCCATATTGAACACCTGGTAGAGATGATACTAATTTACCAATGAATTGTGCTACATCCCTGATTGTGCAGTTGCTACGAGACAATAATGATTTACACATAGATTTCACAACTTGTGCTTTATCACAGGGAAGTTTTACAGTCATATTGATACTGTTAAGTTCGAAACCAAGAAAAGTTATTACCTGTGTTGGTGTCAAGATAACCTTTTCTGGATGAACTATGAAGCCAAGTGTTCTGAGCAAATTGATTGTGTCATAGGTGTTCTGCTTACACTGCTCAGAGGTTTCTGCAAAAAGACAGCAATCGTCAATATATGCTACCGATAGATGGCCTTCATTTCGCAATTTAGCAAAAACAGGTTTCATAATTTTAGTATATAGTCTGGGAGCCGAAGATAACCCTTGAGCTAGACAAGTGTATTGATATAGTTGGCCCTTCCATTCAAATTGCAGAAATCTTTGAGAATCAGTAGCAATTGGCACACTATAGTAAGCGTCTTTAATGTCGACACAACTCATGTACATATTAGGTGACACGATGTTGAGGGCATGTTGAAGATTTTCCATCTTGAAATGATGATATTCTACACTCTGATTTATATCAGATAAGTTTAAAATCATTCTTTTTGACCCGTCTTTTTTGGGTAGCAGGAAAATAGGTGACACGTGACCTTTTTTAGAATCATCAATTGGTACAATGATACCCTTTTTTGCAAATTTGGCAATTTCTAGATCCATGCTTTCATGATCTGACCTTGAGTAATTTGTGTTACATGGCCATTGCATTCGTTGAATATCATCATCACAAAATTCAATCGTGTAACCACTGATAGCATCTAATATAGACTGATCTGATGTTATACGTTCCCATTCATGCAAGAACATTTTAAGTCGACCACCTTGAAAATAATTGACAGAGCTTTTAAGTGTTTGTCTTACCTTTTCAGGTGCAGTGTCTATTGTAATAGTGTCAACATGACCTATTGATTGGTGGTTTTCTCGCTGGCATTGCTGGACTTGCTCTTGGCCCCTCTCCCTCTCTTGTTGGGATATCGGGTAGAGTTCCGCTGGTGGTTGTTTCTGCCGTAGCCCTGGCCTAAAAAATGGTTGTTGGAATTGTTTCCACGACCACGTCCACCGTAACCACGTCCCCTTCCTCGATTACCCCGAGTGGAAGACGGAAAAACGCCTCGCAGTTGCGTTTTATTCATTTCTGCTATCTCTTTCACCTGTTTAGAGATGTCGTCTCCAAAGAGAAACTGGGTAATTGGCACAGATTTGGCGCACAAATGCTTGAAACTTTGATTAATTTCATTTTTGAAAAGTTCACGTCTACGCATGTTAAGTTTCAAGTTTGCATAATGCAATGTTAATGATGCTAATAAGGAGACTAATAACACCAACTCCAACTTAATTACCAATTCCACTTCTCGAAATACTGCGAGTCAAAACACGGTGATGACTAATACTTCCATTTCAACGCGCATGAGTGGAAACTTGACAAGCATTCCACCGCGGCACGAGATTATCGAAGTTGCTAAGAAACAACTAATGGCTACGAAAAGCGCTAGTCCGCCATCTTTGGATTGCGACCCAAAAGTCGTCAACAGACCCCCATCTTCTGATTCCCCGTCGTACTCATCTGTCACCGCAAATAATAACGACAAGTGGATTACTGCTGGTCCTAAAGGACGTCATTCTCCTGTTCCCGAACGCCCTAATTCGTCTCCACGACGAACACTTACAACCAATAAAGGACAAAACCGTATTAAACTGACTGGGGTCAAAGAGGTAAAATTCACGCTTGTTTATGTAAGCAATATTCGAAAAGATTTCAATGTTTCAGACGATGATATCCGTTCTGCGATCGTTGACCATGCCAAGGATAAGGGAATAAGAGTCATGAAGGCCGATATTGTACACAATCGTGTATGCGACGATAAAGTCGGATGCAAACTTAACATCCCCGAATCCCAAGCAGAGATAATTCTTGCAACCAATTTTTGGCCAGACCCGGAAATTGGATGCCGTGTATGGCAGCGCAGATCTACCCAGCGCTCAAACTACAATAGTCAACGGGGTAGTAATTTCAAACATATACCTGTAATCACGGGTCATTATTCCCATTCACATGGGCGATCATATGATACCTATGAGCTCGGCCGCGACTCAAACGGCTACTACAATAACAATAGATATGGTGAAACTATTGACGAGGATGAGCGACATCTTGCAGTTTAGGGGTATACAGTGTATGGATTCCATGAAACCAATACATCTGTGTTTCCTGCTATTTTATTTTCTTGCCCATATAAACATTTTTACTTCCCATATGAATGCAATCAACACTTCCCAAAATGTTCTATCAAATAATGATTTAAGACTCATACAATGGAACTGCAGAGGTTTAAACGTATCGTCACTATATATTAATTCTCTGCTATCACAATGCGATATAATGGCTCTCTCCGAGCATAAACTTTACAATTGTAATAGATTTAAGTTGGACTCCGTCCATCCTGACTTTAATTGTTGTAGCTCCAGTAGCAAATCTTTAAATGATTTTAATTGCGGGAAAGTATGGGGCAATGGTGGTGTAGCTATATTTTGGCGCAAATCATTGGATAATTATATTATACCTGTTAAGAAAATGTGTACCGATAGAATTGTTTGCTTAAAAGTATCGGTCGTGGTAGACTCGCCCTTGTACATATTTTCAGTGTATTTGCCACAACAAAACTGTGTGATAGATAATTTTGAAGATGTCTTATTTTCACTTGAACAATTTGTTCAAGAAGCAAATATTGATGGCAATGTAGTTATTCTTGGTGATGTCAATAGCAATCTAGGTCAATTAACTGGAAGTAGGGGACACGGAGATCCATCGAGCAATGGCTACAATCTGTTTGAATTTATGAAGCGGAACATCTTAACTGCAATTGACATGACGGAGATAACTACTGGTCCAACCCACACTTTTGAAATGATGAGGAATGAAGTACTACATGTGAGCTACATTGATCACGTGATTATTTCTTCCCAACTTGCTAATAATATACTTACCTGTAAGGTGTTTGAAGATGAACCTGACAACACATCAGATCATCTACCGATTTTAACGATTTTAAATTTTGATGTTAAGATAAACAGACGGTCGAGTATACAAGCGCCAATAGGATATGCGTGGGATAAGCTCGGCAATGACGATATCTTGGAATCATACACTCGTTCAATTAACTTACAATGTAATGATATTGTATCCGAGCTACATTCTATCATGTCAAAAAGGTCTCTGAATGGCAATGAGATTGAGTATTTTATAGATAAATTACTAGATATTTTGACACTCACCTCTAACGCCCATATACCAAAAAAGAGATTTTTAAAATATGAAAAGCCGTTCTGGAATTCAACTTTAACTGTTCTAGCAAAAGATAAAAAGACAAAATGGCGTGTATGGGTGTCTCAGGGTAGGTCACGTGATATATCCGATCCAGCGCGTAGTCAATATAAAGATTCAAAAAAGTTATTTTCCAAAACCTATCACGCAGCCCAAATTGAGTACGAGAAACAGGAACTAGAAAAACTCTATACATCGGAACAAACTGACCAACGGTTCTATTGGTACCTCGTTAATAAACATCGAAGAACATCAAAGAGATCTGTAAGTCCTATTTTGTCAGACGATGGCATACTTATAACAGACGCCGACGAGATAAGAAATCAATGGAAATGTCATTTTGAGAAACTTGCCACCCCACTTAATAAGCCAAATTTTGATTCTGAGTTTAAAACCACCATTGAGAACAAAATCAGAACAATTATTAAATGTAACGAGGATGACAAAATTGATGGTATGGCAGTAAGCATTAGCAATGAAGATGTCACCAGTGCAGTTAAAGCACTTCATTGTAAGCGTGCTTGTGGCTATGACCAAATCAGTGCTGAACATTTAAAATATGCCGGAAGCAAAATGTATGAATCCATTGCTCTCTTATTTAATTCAATTATTCAATCAGAGCACATCCCAAATAATTTCTGTGTAGGCGTAATGATCCCTCTCACAAAAAGTGGCAAAGATCCTCTCATAAAAGATAATTCTAGAGGAATAACCCTCATGACAATGTTTCGTAAACTCTTTGACAATATATTATTAACTTACTTGAAAGTTCCGATCTACAAAATGATACCAAAGTTACAAGGAGCATCGGTTGAAAAATGTTCATCTGTTCACACTTCCTTATTGGTGCAGGAGACTATTTCAGATAATGTCGAACAGGGTAAAATGGTAGTCATTACAATAACAGACATTCGCAAAGCCTTCGACTCTGTTTGGATAGATGGTCTATTTTTTAAGCTCCACAAAAGTGGCGTTGTTGGAAAACTTTGGAACATATTGTACAATTTATATAAACACTATAGGTGCGCAGTTCTAGTAGGTGGTGCGCGCTCAAATTCATTTCCTATTCTCCAAGGTGTACATCAAGGTGGCGTGCTGTCAATGCTCTTCTATCAATTATACATGTCTGACATTATTGAAACCATGATTAAACTAAGTATTGGGTCCACCATAGGAGACACCAGCTGTGTCAGTCCATGCTACGCTGATGACATGTGTATCCTATCAAACTCATTTCAAAATATGCAAGTCCTATTGGACGCACTTACTAAACATAGCAATCAATGGAGATATGAAGTACATCCACAAAAGTGCACATATCTTGTTTTTAACAGTAAAATCGAATTGGGAGCCACTCAAAAGCTAAACATTGGAGGTGTACCGATCGAAAAATCTAATTATGCTAAACACGTTGGTATACCACTGTCTGTAGATAATGACATCAGTAATTATGTAAATGATAAATGCAAAAAAGGAAAATCTCAGTTTAATGCCCTTCTGGGAATTGGAAGTAAATGCGGAGGCCTTGTTCCCACTTCAGCATGTCAGATATACAAAACTTATTCCATACCCTGTATGACATACGGTGCTCCGGTAATCAATTATCATCAAAAAGATATTGAACAATTAAACATAGTACAGAGAGGCATTGGACGGAGGATTCAATCCCTTTCCCAATCTGCTAGCAATCCAGTCTCAACATTTCCTCTTGGGTTACTTGATATAGACTTTTACATAGATTTCCTCCGAATGATGTTTTTCTTTAGTATTTTACAACTCCGTTGCTCAAATATTTACAAACACATATTCACGATACGGTTGATAAAATTGTCGTATATGAAAACAAATTTTGATGTGTTTTCTCCTATTCGTAACATGCTCATATGTGCTATAAAATACAACTTGGATAAATACATTCTCGATATGCTATACTGTAAAACTCGAATCACCAAACAAAGGTGGAAGAAAATTGTTTTTACAGAACTTTCGACAGCACAAATACAGAGGACGTTTGTTAGATCAATTATGTATACTGGTCTTGAACTATTTAGGTTGAATGATTTTAGGTCTTTGAGTCCAAATATATGGTGGTGTGTTGCCAGAAAGTTCCCTGTTGCCCTCGGTGGTTGCAAAATTATGGTTCAACTTCTGACAAACGAACATACTCTAGGAACAAAATATCGAGGCGGAGAAAACAGGTCAAAATTATGTTATATGTGTAATACGTTTCAACAGGAAAATGTCATCCATTTTATGTTAACGTGCACAGCAAATAGCTATACCCCGTTTAGACGTAAACTAAATGAGCACTGCCAAAAGTTTGGTATAGAGATGAATATTAACAACATTTTAGGGATTAACTTTAGAAATGATCCCCGGTCTTTAGATTTTTTGAGAGGGGTTTCACTTATCGTGCAAGAGCAATACCACCTCCGTGCTTCGTGCTTGCAATGCAACTCATAACTGACTTATATGATTTCGGACGCGTTTTAATGCAAACCATGGGTTAAAATCTGTTGATTAATGCGTCAAGTATTTTATATCTACATACGTAAACTATACCTACTGTCAATTGTGATCTCTGAACAAATGATCTCTCAAATGGTTGTAATTGGACGATGAGGTAGCGGTAGCATCTTATATCGTCTGTGGTTCATTGGATGAGATGCTTACATCGACCTTGGGGAAGATGGTCTGCACTCAACTAATGAGATAAGTGTATTATATAATGTATAAAACGTATGTAAATACTTAACCTTTTTTACTTTTTCAATTATGATCTCTGGACAAAATGATATCATTAAGGGTTGTAATTGGACGATGAGGTAGCGGTAGCATCTTATATCGTCTGTGGTTCATTGGATGAGATGCTTACATCGACCTTGGGGAAGATGGTTTGCACTCAACTAATGAGATAAGTGTATTATATAATGTATAAAATTGTATGTACATACTTAACCTTTCTCAACCTAACCTTTTTTTACTTTTTCAATTATGATCTCTGCACAAATGATCTCATTGAGGGTTGTAATTGGACGATGAGGTAGCGGTAGCATCTTATATCGTCTGTGGTTCATTAGATGAGATGCTTACATCGACCTTGGGGAAGATGGTTAGCACTCATCTAACGTATAAAGTGTGTTTTATATATTGTATATATTTTTATTCTATGTTCATTTAACATTAATGTTATATCAGCATTATTTTCATTGTACACTGTATACATGTATCTCCTTTTCATAAAGGGCAATAAAGATATACATACATACATACATAACTGCTGAATAGCATATTTTCGTACACTAATTCCGCGATGGTCGTAAGCACATCATCATAAGCATCGGATTCTTTGCTAAGAGTCTCTTTGAGATTATCCAGTGCTTCCAATGCACGTGAAGAAGCAATTATACCCTTCACAAGGGGAGTTTGCACTTTTTGATATTTAATATCATTTGAGCGAACTTCGGCTGAGACCCGAGTCCAAATAGGTTCATTGACCTTTGTAGTGCACAATAATGGAACGTTTTCAGGCGTCTTGTGACCATCTAATTTAGATACGATATCGTCATCCTCTGGCTTCGCCTGGATTAGTTCTGTGACGATTTCAGCCATAGCTTCAGATAAAGGAGGTCCATTATCGTCTTGTAACTTGGTCTTAGATCGAAGTTTATTCATAAGGGAAGAAAAAACTTCAGTCGATTCGGACGAGGAAGTTTTCTGCTTTTTAGCAGGTGGTTCAAGGATGTCAGGATCCTCATCCTCTTGATCAGGAATATCACCATAATCAGCATATTGACCAGCTTGGTAGTCGGTTTTCAAAGATTGCTTTATATCACCTAAAGCTTCGACCATAGTATCTTTGATACATCCCAATCCCGTGCTAATAGCATTTGTAATATCCTGTACAAAGCTCACGGGGATACCAGATTCATTGTTCGTGGATTTACAAGGCTCACTTCCCATTGAAGAGGCAGTGGCTTCTGATGTCAAGCTTGGCGACTTCATAATGACCGACTTGTCGGAACTTTTAGCTTTTACAGAGCTGGACTTCTTTGAAGATTTTGTCTTTGTTCCACTGTCCAAATCTTCTTGAAAGGAAGGTTTAGACTTTAATGACATGTTCGATTGCATACGATTTATACATGCACTAACTCTGAACGCATGAACTGATTGCTATTGAGCAGAACTGCTATTGAGCAGTTGAACGTGTCAATGATATTGCACGTGGTATGTTTTGTACTCAGAATTGTACAATCATGCGACAGCACGTATAAATAACTGTTTTTGAACAGTTGAATGGTCAAAGGACGTTTTAATTCCACGCAGTGTGGTAGAAAAACGTATGCATGAAGGCATTAAAGGGTGAGTCAATATTTATTGACTGTTTCTCCCGCCTTTTTAAACAAAGGAAACGGAACAAAGAAATTGAAAAATCAAATTGACCGTGTCAAAATGATGAAAATAATCAGCATCATAGATAACAAAATTGTAATTATACTCTTTTGTTTCCCAACAGAATACTGATCAATAATAAGTGAAGGTTTAATGAAAAACTTTTAATTCACTAACCGTATATATCGCACCAAAGGCGATACGTCTGTTCTATTCGCGTGTCTGCAACACACTGATATTTCAAACGTCTGTTGCGTGCGCAATGCTTTCTCACGTGACCTCATTGAATATGTAACATGGTAGAATCCAAAATCTATGAGTTATATGAATCAAAGTCGATATATACAGAAAACTTATGGTATCAGTGCAAATTAGGATCAAAAGCAATTAAGCCAGATAAAGAAGCTTTATAATACTGTAACCATGGTAATTTTGCCACTATTTTATGAGCCATTTTCGAAGATTTCACTGTTGTTTATTTTGGTTGATTTGTAATCCTTATAAAACAGTCAGCAAAATGACCATGGCTATATTGTGGGATGTCAGCATAATCACATATTTTAGCATTTTGCATTACAAAAGGTTTTTAAAGCAGCGAGCCAATGTAAATGGTCAATTAGTATGATAACTATATACCTGCTCAACCTTTTATATTGACATACTTCAATCAGCAGCCTCTCAGAAATGCTTGTAAACTTGATCTACCACAGTATCAATATTATACACTCATTTTACTATAATTTTTGTAAATAAATCTTTACACAGAAAATGAAGCTTTTGTTCATATATTGTGTTTTATTACAAAATGCTCATTATTATAGTGACAGTTCTGTTATACATAATTGGTAATAGTATGATCTATTACCACCCCAGCTATCATAGACAGCAATTAAACCACATACTATTCCCCAATGTACAAAGTAAAACGTTACTATGAAATTAAACTTACTCAAATGTCAACTATTATATAAAATGAAATAGGAATGACTGAAGTCTTAAAACATAACTGTAATTGAGAATATTTCATCCAAATGACCGACCAGTTGTCATTATTTTCTATAAATGCTGAAGAATCAAAACTAACTGGCTCTAACTGTTCATAGTCACACACTGTATCAGACACTTTCAAATTCCAGTTGATCAAAAAGAGCAACAAAAAAAAATCGAAAGAATACATGTTTACTCCATACAATTTTTAGTTTCATCTGAACCTGAGCCAGACATGATGATACAGGTCCTTTATTAGCAGCTAGAACATAATCAGCTGCACTGTGCTCATACATGAGTGATTGTGCATTAACATGGATTCCAAATAGTCCCAATACTTCCATTGTTATTTCACCAGTCCTAACTTTTTTGCTTCAGTCTCATATATAAGTAACCGCCACATTTTCACAACAAATACTTCCGCTTCTTCATCTAGGACCTGGAAGAATAAGTGAAAATAATATACAAATACTGAATGTTCATAGAAACTAGATATGTATAGGATATTCTATGATTTTGAGAGATATCATTTTTATCCACGAGTTGATAATCACGAAAAAATCATAGTCCGTTCTATTTATCCCATAGTTCACTTAACAGCATTTCAAAACAACATTCAGTTTTATTTTGTCATTTGAACTATAGCTAAAACAGTAATCATTTCCATATTTGTGACGAAATGAAATCACCATGTAAGCTCATGTAACAATGCATGTCACATTGGCGGGAGTTTTCAAATCCGTGGAAAAAGTGATATCTGTGGAATATTCTCCGTATTCCACACATATCGCTTTTTCCATGCATTTGCAAAATATCATAAATATAGTACGTGTTATTTTACAGATTTGACCTCAACTATGGGGTAAGGAAGAATAGCTATTCGAGTAAAAATATTGGGGGAGCCTATGCACGAACTGCAATATTCAAGATTCTTTAATACTGCTAAGGTCAATTCCATTCCGTGCTCTACACATGCAGAATCCTAGCAGTGAATTGTCTCTTAGACAATAGAGAAATGCTCACAGATTGTACAATGAAACATTTCTTGATCAATGACATGGACAATCACTTACACAGAAATCAATACTTACCATAGCTACATCATTGAGGATAACTTGAGGTGTACTGTGTAGTATGACTTTTTGACATATGAATTCTGTAAGGGTTGGCTCCTCTTCTCCAATATATTCCACAATTTTCTTGTTAACCCAGGGTTTGATACGTTTGTCCATTAGATTCTAAAAAGGAAAAGTTGGACAACTTTATATAATTCATGAGTCACTTAATGCCTGCTAAAGATATTTTGACCCACTCTTTTTTCACTTATATTTTCAATAAGTTATACTATAGAGATATATAGATAATGCTGTCCCCAGCTCCGATTTCGGTGAACGGCTAGTATAAAAGGTTTGAGGGTATCATTTTGTTCCAGACAATCGCTAGAGTAAATTATCCTAACTTGAGTAAAAATGTGTGGTAAGTAAATTCGCTATGGGCAGTTAAAGAGGCGCCATCTATTCATTTTCAAACAGGGGGTAAGGGTATAAAATAATTTTTAATGTACTCAAAATGGTGTATGTACTCTTGCTTTGTCATAATATTATACTAATAAGAATTAGGAAAATGATTATACATTTAAAATTTTTTAATTTTAGCTTCTGACGTCCCTGAATAACTTCTAAAATTATGTAACATATACAACTCAAATATACCAAAAATGGGGCATATAGTCTTGCTTTGTCATAATGCTATTCATGAGATGTAAAAAAATTATTACACCTTTTTTTAATTGCAATTTTCATTTTAGCTTCCGAATCTGACATCCCAGGGGCAATTATATCTCACTTTGATATAACTCTCACGATATGCAACATATGCATCTCAAATGCGTGCCCAAAATGGTATAAATATAGTCTTGTTTTGTCATATTTATTGGATTCATGAAGTTCAGAATTTATGGATTTGACTGTCTCCCATGAAGGGTGCAGCTACATATAGCCCAGAGACGATAAGATCTACTTTCAAATATTTGCAACATTATTTAATATCATAAGCACTGGTTTTATATCAATCACAAAATACAGATACAGAAGTCAATAAGTATGTATAGCTGCATCTAACTACTGATCATATAAGCATCTCAAACTAATGACCCACTGAACATTAACTTAAACTGTCATCCAATATAAATTTTAAAATATAAACAAAATTATAACTTACAGAGTCAACCATGCTCCAGTCTAAACTAAATGCAAACAGATCATCTTTAGCTGTTGGTATTTTCTCGATAAGATTTTTAATCATTTTTCTTTTTTCTTCTGCGGTGGCTGCCTTTTTAACTGGCTGGATTGCAGCCTTTTCTTCTTCGCTATAATCTAGCGGGACTAGTTTCCTTTTCTTACTTGTGTCTACCTCCTCTTCATCATTATTAAAGACATCTCCAACTGTCATTTTCTTTCGTTTGGCACTGTTTTGCATTTCTGTATTTGGACTATCTTGTGCACCTAGAAAATTTGTTCATATGTAAAACTTGTCCAAGTAAATAACAGCTAGATAACAGCAATGCCAAGGTGCAGCAAATCCCATCAAACAGGCATGACTGCCATTTTTGAAAATGGCCACCAATTAGCCAAATTGTCATTAGACAGACTGTGTAATATGCTTCTAACCATTCACATATAAATTTGCAACCGAATCACTCTACTACATTTGGAGTTTTTTATGTTGTAACTAAATACCTTACTGGTTGAACGTACCACTATTATTGAAAACTGGTCAAACAGATACGGAGAAAAAATAAAGTGACAAGTGAACGATTACAATTTAGCTTACCAGATGAACAAAATTTAGAAATAGCATCCACTTACCTATTGTTCTCGCTGCGTCAAAGCTGGTTCTTACATTCTCAGCCTCTTGCTGTGTTGCGGGACCAATATATGGCTCAGCCGAATGACTATTACTGTTATCATAGTGCGAGTCTTCAGAATCAGAGGATTCGCTCCTTCTCATTGGTTCGTCAACTTCACCATCTGTAGATGGCGACTGCTGATTGGGAACTTCAGGTGGTTTGGTCTCCTGAAATTATCACAAAAATTATGAAATGTCACTGAATTATTGAGTCTAAATTATAGTCACATGACTATTTTCTCATATTGCAGTATTGATAATTAAATGTTTTGTTATTTATAAAAATAGCTTGTACTGTAAATGCAATGTCATTCACATAAATAGAATTTTAAAAATGTATGTTCCAATCTGTGAGGTGTGGTAATTTGAAAAAATTACAAGTAATATAGAGCAAAACTTTCCTCAATTTTACTTGGTTTTATGTCATCCTAAAATGCTTTGCATGAATTATATACCATTTAGTTGGTTGTCAATAGCAATTTTTTCATTAAAAGTGTTATCATGCACATACATGTTCATATGAGATTGGGTATAGAATTCTGTGTAAAATTTTTCAGAAGACCCCTAGAAAGGAGTACAGTGTTGGTATATAAAAATATGTGAATGAATAAACACAAGGAGCACATGCGTCTTGAACTCGCAACCTCGTGGTTACGGCGCCCAATAGCCTAGCTTGAAAGTGCCGGCGCTCAAGCCCTCTCGGCCAACTCGACAACCCCAAAAAAGGTTGTTTTGTTAGTCGATCTGACTTGAGGCAGCTGATGTTAACGCTCAAACACACCAGAGGAAGCACAACTGACATTCCTATCCCTTTGGCATTTGCGCTTATATATTCCCACACATAGATACTTCAAGGAAGGATGGTATTGTTACGTTCGAAACTAACAGAAAGTAAAAACAGCAATTAAAATATGATAACAATATATTTATATTTTGAAAAACTAAATAATATAACAATAATATAAAGGAGGTTTAATACTTAAGTGATGTCCAATCAATGATACGGCTTATTCTTGATGTCGATAAATGTCGTTGACGATCCTTGAGAAAGTTCCAGATCACGAAATGTTTCAATAATCGTTAATAGTTCTCCAATGTTTGTAATAATCCAATAATGTTTGTTGTAATCCTATAATGTTTGTATCCAATAATGTTTGATGATAATCCACAAATGTTTGATGATAATCCACAAATGTTTATGGTAATCCACGAATGTATATGATAATCCGTATATAGTGTGTGTTGTAATATATGTCCATGTAAAGTCCTCAGGTTGTGTGTTTATATTGTTAATGTTCCCACAGTAGGTGTCTGTAATATTCTGCTAAGAAGATGTCTTTTGATCAACTTTGAAATTCTGCTTTATTTAGTTCCTTTGAGATGTCCAGTTATGATTACTTAATTATCTGCTCATGAGAGCCACTGTGCTGTTCTTTTTATAATGTGAAAGAATGATCCAGAAACGAATCTTCTGGAACTACATCTTGATTGGACATCTTTAGTGACATGATTAAATTTTAATGAATGGTTATAATTTCTAGAACTATCTGGATGGTCAAGGGTTAATGAGTCATTCAGTTCAGTTTTGTTTACAAGATACAGTGTATAATGTCATTGTGACCTTGACCCAAGATCTCCAATAAAGAATAGCTCAACATATACAGCAAACATACATTACAAATTAAACTATAGGTGAATATAGTAGAATATAATATGCATGTAGCTCACTACTGTAACACCTCCCTCCTTAAAAGAAAAGTTTTGAATGCAATGAAAAACTTTTACAATAATATCTTGAGTAGCGAGCGTTACAATTTCTAAAAGTGAGGTTGAGACTTACATAATATTTGTTTACAATAGTCTTTTTATGTGCAGTATGTTTACAAGTATTTAATACTTTCTATCGTTACAGTGTGAGTACAATCTAATTACATATGATGTTCTTGTAATCATATACTACAATAGTATCTACATAAGTTATGCATTAAGTCATAAATACAATACACGCAATAGATCATATAACATGTACAATAGCATACATTTTTGAGTCTGACAAACACTAAACTAGTACAATGTTTTAAATTATCACATGATCTTATGTAAGTATTTCTAATAGTACACTCTGATGTTATCAAGTAATCTTGTGACACTATTTAATGATCACCTATAATGCTCACATAATTTAGATACAATCTTATATAACATCAATTTCACTATTTAGGCAAATGTTTTTATATATTGTTAAAATAAAGTGACAGTTATCACAAATCTCTAATTGCCTATCATATAATATAGTCTTCATGAGTTAATCATGATAATTTACAATATCTAAATCTTGAATAACATATAGTTGCCATGTACATACAAGTTTGGTCTGAGAGCTAAGAGCACAAGGTCATGCTGAGTAAGAAATTTATCACGCTCAACATACTTTTTCATCATGTGTAGCTCTCTACACCTCACAGGAGTAGTTTTATCAATGCAAATGAAATCATTCAGCACTGAGTCAAATATAAGCTCCTTTGGTAGCCCAACTAATGTGAAATTGTTGATTTGTGATTTCACAATATACTTGATTTTGCTATTCCTAAGCATAAAGAGTGGTTTTATTTCTAGAAACTGTGTGGCCATAGACAGAATAGTGAGCAGATATTGATTATCAGATTTTGTTTTTGGTAATGGACCAACACAGTCAATAAGAACCTTACTGAATGGTTCATCAAATGCAGGTATAGGTTGTACAGGAGCAATTGGAATTTTCTGGTTAGGTTTCCCTACCATTTGACAGGTATGACAAGACCTACAATACTCTTGGACATCTTGTTTTAATTTGGGCCAATAGAAATGATTGAGTATTTTATGGTATGTTTTAGTTACTCCTAAATGACCTGCCATGGGAGAATCGTGAGCTAGACTCAAGATTTCCTTATGATATGAATTTGGGACAACAATTTGATGTACAATTGCCCAATCATCTTCAGGGGAAGCTTCAGGAGGTCTCCACTTTCGCATTAATATGCCATCCTTTTTGTAGAAACAAACAGGGACCTTGACAGCTTCATCAATTGTAAGACATCTTTTATGAAGATCAATGAGTGATGGATCATGCTCTTGTTCATAAATTAACATGTGTTTGGAATGAGGATCATTTTTCAAAGAATCACTATCAGAAATAGAGGATGAAACCTCAGAACTAGAAGAGGATGAAACCTCAGAACAAGGAGGGGATGAAACCTCATGAACACTAGCAGAAGAAGATGAAACTTCATCAGGACTAGCAAGAGCGGGCGAAACCGCATTAAAATAGTTATCCTGCTTAGAAGGTGAATCACCTCTGGCAATAGGCTTTTTCAATGAAGAATATGCCTCATTAGATCGCTGCTTGGCTTGAACAATAGGCTGTTTCAATGAAGAATTTGCCTTTAAAATAGGATAAGGACCATCTTTAACAAGTGGTGAGTGACATTCATCATCAAACAAGGAGCTTAAAAACCCACTATCAAAGTCATCTCCCACAGACGAATCCCCGCTATTAGCTAACCTTTTAGCCATAGCCCTAGTAACAGCACAAGCAGGATATATATCAGAGTCCTCTTGGACAGAATCCTCAATAGAACAAGGCTGATCAGAAACAATGGGGTCTAATGATACCTTACCCCCAGCTAAATCATTGCCTAAAAGCAATGCGACTCCTTCAACAGGAAGTTGTGGCCTAACACCAACAATAACTGGCCCTTTGACTAACTCCGATGTGATATGAATACGATGGAGGGGAACTTTTGTAAAACCTAATTCAATGCCTTGCATCAAAATATGGGTACCTGTGAATGACTCCTCAGATAAAGGAAGGACACCTTCTAACAACAAAGTCTGAGATGCACCCGTGTCTCTAAGAATCTTAATTGGCTTTGAATTGGTATCATCACTTGACAGTGACACAGATCCTTCCGACATGAAAGGCTTATAATCCTCCATAATATCACTATGAGTAGATTTCTCAGTATGAGTATATGAATCCCAAACAATGGGCTTTCTTGAAATGGGAACAGTAGCACAACCATTTGAATGAGCAGAACCAGACATCTCTCTTCTATTCTTAATCCTATAGCATTCAGAAATAAGATGACCAGGCTTTTTACAATAATTACAGGTGACATTTGATTTTGGACCTGAAGAATTTGATTGATCTGATTTTGAGCTAGAACTCTGTGATGAATTAGACTGGTCTTTTGCTTTGTGTGATGTATTTGATGATGAGGACTGATTTGATTTTGTATCATATGAAGGTTTGTTACCTTGATAACCTCTAAAGTTAGGATTACCTTTGATAAAACTACCCTTATGAGTAAGAGCATAATCATCAGACAGGGTGGCAGCTTGACTTAAAGTTTCTACCTTGTGTTCATCTAAGTAAGTTCTAATGTGATACTGAACACAGTTTTTAAATTGTTCTATTAGCATAAGCTCTCTGAGCTTTTTAAACTCTTCAGATACATCTTTAGAGACAAGCCACCTGTCAAAAAGCTGCTCTTGCTCTCGAGCAAACTCAACATGGGTTTGGTCACTCTGTTTGTGGGCATTTCTAAATTTTTGTCTGTAAGCTTCTGGTACTAGTTCATAAGCTTTAAGAATTGCATTTTTAACTAGGTCATAATCAGAGCATACTTCTCCTGAGAGAGAGGCAAATATTTCACTTGCTTTTCCAATGAATACACTCTGGAGCATAACTGGCCATGCAGATTTAGGCCAGTCTAGGCTCTGAGCAACCTTTTCAAAATGTGTAAAGTATTTATCAACATTTTTCTCTTGAAATTTAGGTACAAATTTGAGAAATTTTGAAGCGTCAAACCTATTTTCAAAATGTTGATGCATAGTAGCATGTTCATCAGTTTTGGATTTAGCTTCTATTTCAAGCCTCTTTAATTCAATTTCTTGTTCTCTTATTTCTCTTTCATTTTGCATTTGTAATTCTTTCTCTCTAATTTCTTTTTCTATTTCTTTCTCTCTCAATTCTCTAATTTCTCTTTCTTTTTGAATTTCTAACTCTTTCTCTCTCAATTCTAGTTCTTTCAGCTTAATAGGATCAACTTGCTCAACATGCTGGGCTGGCTGCTCAGGCAGAAGTGATTCTGCGACCAAATATTGAAGTACAAAGTTTTTAATTGTATCCTTTTTGTATGAACTTTTGACTGACAGGCCAACATGTTTTGCAATTGCCAGAAGTTCAGTTTTCTTTAAATCATCAAATTCCTCCAAAGAGGGCGCTTCTAAAAATGTCTCAACCTCAAAACTCATTTTCGATTAATTGCTGTCTTCACAATTTTAATGTACAAGTTTTGGATTTCTAATTTTGAAATATTTGAATTTTAGCTTGTTGTAGTTGTATCCCGGACGAGCCCCCAATTTCTGTTACGTTCGAAACTAACAGAAAGTAAAAACAGCAATTAAAATATGATAACAATATATTTATATTTTGAAAAACTAAATAATATAACAATAATATAAAGGAGGTTTAATACTTAAGTGATGTCCAATCAATGATACGGCTTATTCTTGATGTCGATAAATGTCGTTGACGATCCTTGAGAAAGTTCCAGATCACGAAATGTTTCAATAATCGTTAATAGTTCTCCAATGTTTGTAATAATCCAATAATGTTTGTTGTAATCCTATAATGTTTGTATCCAATAATGTTTGATGATAATCCACAAATGTTTGATGATAATCCACAAATGTTTATGGTAATCCACGAATGTATATGATAATCCGTATATAGTGTGTGTTGTAATATATGTCCATGTAAAGTCCTCAGGTTGTGTGTTTATATTGTTAATGTTCCCACAGTAGGTGTCTGTAATATTCTGCTAAGAAGATGTCTTTTGATCAACTTTGAAATTCTGCTTTATTTAGTTCCTTTGAGATGTCCAGTTATGATTACTTAATTATCTGCTCATGAGAGCCACTGTGCTGTTCTTTTTATAATGTGAAAGAATGATCCAGAAACGAATCTTCTGGAACTACATCTTGATTGGACATCTTTAGTGACATGATTAAATTTTAATGAATGGTTATAATTTCTAGAACTATCTGGATGGTCAAGGGTTAATGAGTCATTCAGTTCAGTTTTGTTTACAAGATACAGTGTATAATGTCATTGTGACCTTGACCCAAGATCTCCAATAAAGAATAGCTCAACATATACAGCAAACATACATTACAAATTAAACTATAGGTGAATATAGTAGAATATAATATGCATGTAGCTCACTACTGTAACAGTATTTTACAAAAATACAATGGAAAGAAAACCTTGTGTATATTAGATTAATTCCAGTGACACTGTTTCATAATTGTCTTGTCTTTGTACACTACCCTACCCATTGTAGCCTGTATTACTTTAAAAGAGATACTAGTATAGGCTAAAGTGAAGTTGCAAATTGAGCAGGTATTCTCTTTGTCTATAGGGTTTTCTGGTAATAATAAAATGCAAACTGCTCGATGAATCTATACAATGAAAAGTAGAAAACTTGGGAGTATATGGAAAATCTAGTCTACCTTCAGAAATATGGAAATAAACAAACTTCCTCCATTTGCAACTTCTTTGTAGCCTGTATTCATTTTAAAGAAATACAGGCTACAGTATGGGGGTAGTGTAGTGTGAATTACTTGTACATGACATTTAGGAAATAACAAGACCAAGTGAGCAAAAATGAATTTGGATTTCTCTACCATATCACCATAATAGCCTTGGACATTTATACAATGAATAATTATTTAATTACACAGTGTAGACAGACGGAATACATATATATTACCTCAGGAGACAGCTGGGGGTTAGTATATGTCACAGTCTAAAAGATAAAATTATAGTTCAGAGCTTCGTCTTTCAAAAAAGATTTCCAAATAATTTCTAATGCCATAATTTGAATGTCAATAATCAATAATGTCAATAATAGAAATTGTGACCACCATTGGATTGACTATTCAAAAATGTATAAAATAAAAGTTTAATCCTGCAGATTCAAGCTACACATACATTTCAGAAATCAAAGTCTCAGGTTAGTAACTAAAGTATACAAGGCAGAAGAGTATATAATCTAAATCAACAACAAAATCAATATGAAAAGGCAGATACTAAATACTACATTACAAGTATAATGCTACTTATAAAGACATGGTTTCAAATAAAGAAGTAAATACTGAAGTAAGACTAATAGAGTATTTTGATTCCATTATGACAGGCAATTCATTTTTTTGTCCAATTCAAATTGGTTCTCAAAATTTGAACTAAACCAATACAGTGTTACATGTATTAGCAAACAGAAATACATGTACTTACTAATTTGTTGAAATATAAATACGATTACAACAAATTACAAGGCATTAAAATGACAAAATGTCACCATCTATTTGCTTACAATATTATGAGTTCAATGTTACGTCAGATTTGAATTTCTGGGAACTTGTAGATGATTTTGAAAAAATTAAGTTGGTCAATTTGAAGCAATATGAAAACAGAACTTTGTGACCTTGAGAAGGTTATTGAAGGTCAAATGAGACCTTGACCTTGAGTATGTCTCAAATATCTATAGTCAGATTTAAACTTTCGAGAACTTGTAGATGATTTTGATTGGTCAATTCAAACCAATTTGAAAAAATACCTTTTTTGACCTTGAGAAGTTTATTGAAAGTCAAATCTCAAACCTAAAGTCAGATTTGAACTTTTGATAATTTCAAGATTATTTTGAAAAAAATTGGTAATTTGAAGCAAGTTGAAAACAGGCCTTTTTGACCTTGAAAAGGTCAAATCTTAATCATAAGTCAGATTTGAACTTCTGAAAACTTGTAGATGATTTTGAAAAAAATTGAAGTCAATCTAACCAGTATTTGTAAAGTTATTGGAAGAAGCTGATTGCCAACCACCAACCGCCGTAAAAAAAACGGAGACCATAAAAATATGTCACCACTTTTTGGTGGTGACATAACAAAAAATTCTAGAGAATAAGGAGAATTGTGAATAGCAGACTCTAAATTCTAATAATAAGAAATATAAGGGAAAATGATTCAAAATCACACCTGTTCATTTTGTGTTATAACTTTTTCTTCCTCTTCTTTTAGCCTTGGTAATAAATGTTCATCTCTCTCCTTTTCTATCTGAAAAACCAAAGCAACAAGATTTATGGCGAAATATTTCAGACAGTTGTAACGTTTTTTGACTTTATTTCAAAATAATTCTTTGATTTTTAAAGTTATATTTTTATTTTTTAATGTATCAGAACATTACTGCAACTTAAACCTTTATAGATAACTTCTACATTTGAAAACATGATCTAACTTTTTTAAAAGATAAAATTAAGATTTAAGAGAAACACTGTCATGATATTTGAAAAAATAATGCTTCTAACATTAAAACTCAGGTAAAAGTCAACTAATCCATGTCACCATTGAGTCTAGTTTACATTATAGGTGGGTCAAATTACATTAATTAGTGATAAAAATGGAGAACCATTTTCTGTATTGATTCAACCAATATTTTAATCTCTGCAGGAAAACAACATACCTCAGCCATTTTCATGTCTACATCAGGGTGGCCTTCATCTGTAAGTTTTCTGCGAATCTCTTCAATTTCTTCCTTCTCTCTAGCCCTGTCTCTTGCATCTGCTTCCATTTCCTTTTCTCGCTCCTTCAGTCTTCTTCCGAGAGCACTTCCCCTAGAAATGATGCGTTATCAAGCGACTAAGGTACACAATATATGTATACATTATACATATTTCAATAAATTACTTAGGTAACATTTACCTGATAAAATAGAAATCTGAGAAAATGCACCAGTCTTAACACATTTTTCTATACTGAAAGTTCACAAAAACACTAAATTGGATATAGTGAATATTCATTTAACAATTTTACAAATCACAAATGTAGTTCAAAGGATTCCATATGCTAATTTCTAATTTCTTACTTGTAATATTTTGGGTCGTCTCTTTCATCATCATAATCTTCTAGAAATTCTTTTAATCTACGTGCCTCCCTAATCTGTAATAATTAAGTAATTAAAAAAGCTTTATAATTCACAGTATTACTGTATACACATAACAAAAAGGCAAATCATTTCACGACATAAAAATAATAACTTTATTCAATTTCTGTTTAATTCCACATGCTTTTCAAATATACATGTATGTGTTTACAGCAACTTATACAGGGAATACCTTATAACAAATCGAGTATTAGCTCTCCCAGCTAGTCAATACATCAGACCTTTCATCACAATAAAAGTGTAATCTTATACTAATAAGATTCTCACCTCATCTTCCTTCTTCTCTAGCTCTTTTTCCTTCTCTTTGTCATAATCTCTTGATCTCTTGCGCTCCCTGCCTTCCCAGTTCTTCAGTCTCTGGAATATTACATAATATATTTTCAGATTATCTAATTACTTTTTGTAATTTATGTTAGTGACTTGAAAGTTTTTTTGTCCGGTCAATCTCCCAAGTATTGGAGCAACCAGTTGCCTTACACAGTAATAGAAACAATATTGAACTCTCTGAAAATTCAGATGTTTTAATCTGATAGACAATTATCTTTCAAAAGCAGTAAAATGCAAATTTGCACATTTCCAGTTAAACAAATCATTAAAAGAAAAATCACATCAAAGATTACTGCCAAATAATCAATGTCAAGAAAATGGGAGATATTTTAAAGTTCATGTCTCAAATGATGATATATCTTGGTATTCATATTAACTATAAACAATTGGTTCACTGTTAAAAATAACTCACACGTTAAGTCACATCAGAACTTCAAGGGAAAACTTTCATTTGTTGAGAAAGGGGGCTTAGTGAAAGCTAATCTTACCTCTTGATATGCTGCCTCTTTTTCTCTTAGTTTTCTTTCAAGTTTCTTTCTCTCGTAGGCATCTTCTTCATCCTCTTTCTCCCTCATACGTTCCCTCTCCCTTCTTTCACGCTCTCTTTCACGACTAAATCAGAATTTCATTGTTCATTTAACTTAAATGCTAGTGCAAAAGAATATGCTAAGATAAGCGTTCCTCTGAAATGCTACATTCTTCATTTAACTAGTTAAAGGTTCAAATAATGATATTATTTCTCTGCCCATGTGAACAGTAAAACTTCAAAAAGTTCTTATATTTATCTTATAGTTGCTTTTCTAAACCAGCTGTTTTAATGAAATAAACGAATATTATTGCAATATTGGGGGCTCTGAACTGTTGGATTTACTGTATTGGCTTTTTACCTTTCACGTGATCGTTCACCTCTGTCCCGAACCATAGATCTGTCTCCACCTCTCGACCTTGGTGATCTAGATCGCGACCTTGACCTTGAACGAGACCGTGTCCTGGGTCGCTTCACTGCATTTCTCCGAGCCTCTTCAATCATGGCCATTTCTTTCATCCTTTTCCGATCACGCTCTAATTCCCGCTCCATCCGTCTCCGCCTGTTTTCATCAGCTTCAAGAGCAGCAGGGTCTGCTTCTATTTCCTTGACTTCTTCTCCCTGTTAAAACATATAGTAGCTTTTCCTGAATAACATATTCTGTACTAAGAATTCAAAATATTTTATCCTTTAATTTGGATGAGATGTTTATTTTGAAATAAGTATCTTTAACTAAAAGATTTTAAATTTACTATCTAAATATTTGGGCATCTCAATAATCAATATGCATACTATGTGATCTGTTACATGTACTTTACAAATACTGTCGTACATCTATCTATAAACTGACCACATGTTTGTTACCAAATAAAAGTATATGAATTGTCTATACTTAAAAATAGTAAATTTCTAGAAACAAATGGAATCATATGAACACAACTTTATACAGACTTTACTTGTAGGTAAATCCAATCCTTTCTCTAACTGCCTTTGGTGTACCTAATTCAATCTAATAATCTAAAATTGAAATTGATAGTGGAGACATATTATCATGATGTATAGAAGGTCGCATATGGTTATATCAGGGTCACACAGACATATAATGATCAACCCAGATTCCACATTCTTGGGTGCTGTCCTAGTTGAAAGTTTTTAGAAAAATTGATTAAGAGCCATTTTGGATTTTTGAAAATCTTGGAAAATTATAATTCAGAAAAACAGAATCAGTAAATTAGAACATTGCACCCAGCTGAGGCATATGCTATGGGAGGAACACTGACATATTCATATAAAAAGAGCTTCACATATAATTCTATTTTTTAAAAGTCCTATTAATTTACTCTTTGTTACTATGGGTATAATATTTTACGAATGAATAAGAATGGAGGCGGAAAAAGATGGGTTGTTCCAAATGAACCTTATATACCAACAAAAAAATATAGGATGAAAATGGTTCCTAAACAAAAATAGAATGTTTCATAAAGACTACATTTGAGCTGATAATGAATGATTTCAAGTAAAAAAAAAATGAATTAATAAAAAAAATTCAGGTATTCAGGTATTGATACATCACCAAAGTTATATTCACATAGATATACCTTCCGGAATTCTTTGATATCGTTCAAAATATTTTGCAATGTGTGAAGCAAATTGAAACCAAAGACGCAACAAATTGTCGGTGATATAATGTCTTGGTCCCTTCTATTCTAGCAGAGAACTGCTTAAAAGAACTTGATCATTAAATCCACAAACAATTCATTGAGTCTTGGGCTTACAATCAATAACAAACATACATCTTATAAAAATAGATTAAATCTGAGAAAGTTGAATAAAAAATGAAGCAATGCTGCTGGTATTGTTGGATTGCTGAAAACATAAAAGAAACAATCTCCAACAGCTAGAGTCTGATCTAATAATGTTAAGTAGATTTCACTTACTTGGAGTAAACTAACCAGCTCACAATGGTCAAAACGGGTTAAGTGATCGTAGGTTTACATACCTTTTATGCACATCCTTGTTGTACTCGTTTATTGTATTTAAAAGGAAAGTATGATTGGACGAGGATGCTGGGGATGGAGGTCTATAGGGTAAGAGGAAAATAAGAGGAGGAAAGTTGTTTATTAATTTAAGACCACCATTCAATAGTAGACAATATATAGATATTATATGGATATATTTCTTTGGAAGTTCAGTTTGGAAAGTTTTTTTTGAACGAGGTACAAGAGAATGTCATTTGCACTTTATCTGACCAAGAATGGCATAAAATAAAATGTTTCAGAGATAGGACTGAGAATTGATAAGGCTCACGGGGAGGGGTCATGTGGGATGGATATTGATCATACGATATAACCTACCAGAGACTCTGCAACCTTGTGCATAACTTTATTTTATAATCATATCGTAATGGCACTTACCACTGAGTATATGTTTCACATTTAATATACAGTGTTAACAGCCAGTAATGGGCAGGTATCGACGAATGTGGACTCAAGTTTAGCCTCGCCAGAATATCTAAGATTTTCAGATCAACGAAAAGTTGCCAATTAATATTTGGGAAGGAAACAGTATTAGAAATACTGGTGCCTTAAATGTTCATATAATTTTGGACATTTTGTAATTGAGTAACGGTACACATTTTTGCTGAAAACAATTCAGTTGGCTCATTTTATTGGTCATATCTGTCAAATTCCTTGTATTACATGAATATAGACCACAGCAGGTCAATACAAATCCACAAGTAGGAGGATGCAAATAATTTATAATGGACAGTTTTGGCAACAAAAATATAGTACCTAAATATTTGCGAAAGTTAAATCATCAAAAGGTATATGAAACAAAGATGAAGTTGTCTTTGAAACAAATAAGTTTTATTGGTGTATCAAAACTGTCCAGTATAAATAAATTGGAAGTTTCTGATTGGTCGCATCTTATTACCTTGTGTGCATCTCGGAAGCGATTGATCTCTCTGTTTATCAGCGCTTTCTGATCTTCCTCAATTGCCATATCATCTAACCCCTGAAAAAATCATGAGAACATTAAAATCTTAATTCATTTAACATCAGGATGTATTTCTGAAGGTAGGATATCTTAAATCAGACGATCAATTTTTCCATATCAAAATACATTTATTACGATTTCAGGCCAACTAATCAAAAATTACAGACCATGTAAAAGCTTACTGGATTGTAGTTTTTGTGTAACCCTTAAATGGCAACAAGTAAATGGAGTTGGCTTTAAAAATGCAAATTACTCTTCCAAAATCAGAAAGGTCACGTTGATGATTAGATTGCGATCCATTATTAGCGTTAGCAACATGTTAATTCATTTGCTGTTGTGGCAACAAATATCTTTATGTATAACTGCTATTAAATCAATAGAGTAAATAAATAACCTTACCACATCTTTGATTGGACCTCCCATTTCAGTGGTTTTCTTCTTTTCTTTAGGTTTCTCATCCTCCTTTGAATCTGTAAAATCAAAACTAACTTATAAAAAGAACTCACTTCCTATCATGTACTAATATGTTTGCTGCGTAAATTATATTTCTGTTTCGCCATATGAGAAAAAGATTTAAGCACAAGATCCAATTGGAAAATACACTCATTTATCAAATCGTATACTAGCCTCAACACTGAACTTGTTAAACTCATGTTTAATTGCACAAATAACAACATTTAGTGGATTATCCATTATCTTTTACCATAGTAGCAGACACCCTCATGCAAGTATCTTCCCGAAATTGATTGTGTACATATGATCTCAAGATGATATGACATTCTACAGTTGTACTGTCATGTTTCATATGACCATTTGTCGCCAAGAGACTAAAGTTTGAGACTGACACATGGACTAATATCACTATTAGGCCCACATAGGGTAATTGCCTGCTTTACAAAAATGAAATCTTAAAAAGCTAAGAATGAGATTTTATAAGTATGGCACTGCTAAACAAACAATAAATTAGCAAGTGCCAAAAATCCAGATTTAATTGTTAATTACATCTGAACGCTAACACAGAACATATAACACTTATCATTATTAACAGAATATTCTTAATTACTTTCTTACCACCATGACCATATGCATGGTACTGTTGATAGCCTACATGATAACTGGCTGGAATTGTCCAATATTATCAAATGAGAAATGATTATACAATTCATGTATTTGTCTACACTTGTATACATGCATTTGCAACAACCCGTACTGCTCGTTGGGGCTATTCACACACAATAGGGGCTGTATCCATCATATCTTGATCATTTAGGGTTTTTCAAACCAATATCTATCAAATCAGTTTTCTTCTGTACAATAGAGAGTCTCTTTTGATATATTGACCTTTTCAATTCACAGTATTGATCCATTGCTTGGCACAACTAGCCTTGTATTCGCGAATTGAACTGCTGGCTGTTGACTGATGGATTTAAATATGAATAGCTCCTCCCACTATTTCATTCATATTTAAACGAGTAGGTTAATCTGGTAGCCGAAAGTTGCATTTGTGAATACAAACTAAGTGAAGACCAAGTGTGTAAAACCTTAATGCTTAGACCACTGCTACATTGGCACCAAGAACTCATTCTGGGTGCCTCCCTTCAATATATCAGAGTGCTTGCCTTTTGAAAGCATATTTTTGTCTGAGCTGAAATAATTACATAAGTCTTAACTTACCACTTTGGTTAGACTTATGTCCCTTTTTAACTGCAAAAGAATGTGTAGTTCAGAACAAGGCTCAACATCATGCAAGTTCTGTATGTTGACCCCAATACATGGAACATTCAGACTAATATCATTAATTTTTGTAATCAGTTGAAAAAGATCAGGAGACCAGTAAAAGAGAACTGTTCTTTTAGTCTAAACTAGTAATGCACATGTTTAATGAATCATGGAAATAAATAATATAGATTCAATTCAATTCCAAGTGTTTGCAATAATGACAATGCCCTTCCTTTCAAAAGAATGAACTTGTAGAACTACGGAAGATAGTCAACCAAGAAAGTTAGACTCTTGGCTTATTCATAATATTTGGTTGCTGTAATTCCACAGCTGTAATGCCATGTTTTATTTGAACAGAAAGGCATGGTCATCGCATCTTTTGCATAAGACAGTACTTACCATTTGAATTAGGATAAGGTTTATTAAGGTCTCTATGATATTCCCTCATAATGGCATCAAGGCCTGCTTTAGCGACACGGTCTTCACGTTGTGTGGCTTCATCCCCGCTATCATCTTCATCTTCTGTTTTTCCACTCTTTTTAGCACGCTTTTCTTTATACTCATCAAGGAGGGTTTTAGTTTTAGCATCCACTTTAACCTGAGAAATTTTGAATTTATCAATAGTCTTCATAGCAACTCTAGAAATATTCTACAGCCCCACATTAATTCTGTATCAAATGTAATTAAATAATTATATATTTTTCAGTAAAATCCCAATGCTCATGTTGGTTTATAAATAAAATGTTGCACAGTGGGGAATGTATGCTATTTGCGGGTATACACAATTCTTTATCAAGGTATAATACAGTACCTTTCATTCAGGGATTTGGGTACCTTTTTAACAACTGAGCAATTCTCACAAAAACTTACCACAAGTTTCTTATCACATATGTCCCAGTCGTTGAGAAGTCGAATACATCTCAAAGTTGCCTCTGGGTCCTCATACTCGCAAAAGCCAAATGCCTGAAGTTTCCCTGATGCTCCTTGGACCCTCTTCCAGCTGAGAACATTGCCGCATCTCTAAAAGAATAAATGCATAGGATTGGTAGAGAATAAAAAGAATTAATTAAGTTAAGTTAATTGATGTTTGGGGCAAGATATCAAATTCCAAACAATATATTTAGTCGATATTTCAAATGAATAGACATTGTTAAAAACATTCAGTACACATATCATGATTGAAAATTCCGAGTAAACAAATAAAATCCACAATCTGCCTTGTTTTTACGTGCATTTGCAGAAGACATATGTATCCGAAGAATACCTGCAACATTGTTCGTATCATCTGGTCTGGAGCTCTTTCAATAATGTTGCCGACAAACACGGTTGTTACAGGAGCCTTTTCATCGGAGTCCTACAAACAGATACAAAATATCAGATACACTTGTGAGTATCTCTTCTCACTGATAATCAGAAAGGTACAAATCAAGAGGTATTGCTCACTAATTACAAGTCAGTCAAAAAAGGTCACTACTGGCAAAAAGGATCCTTTTACCACAATTACTGAATTAGACACATGTCTTCCAGTGACACATCATTAAAGCCGTGATAAATTAGCAGCATATTTTCTATGGACGCCATTTATTGTCTAACAATTTTACTGCAGGGTCATTCATACTTAGCAAATGATGAATAATGAAATGAATTTTTTTTTATTCTTCTTTATTCAATTTTAGTACATACAAAATACACATGTAGTGACTGCCAAAGTCGAAAAACATTGGTGGCAATGAAATGAATGATTTCGCAAAAAAATGATGGCAATTCACTTGACCTACTATTTCTTTAAGTCTTGGCAACATCTTTATATACTAGACTGATTCCTGCATACAACTTTTCTTTAAAAGAGTTGAAGAAATTGCATAAGCTAAATTATACCAATCATGGTTGAAAGTCAACCATCAGACCTAGGGAAATTGAATTCAAATACCTTTGGAATCTCCTGAGGTATGAGTTTCTGAACTGGTTTCTTTGGTGGAGCATTTTGTTGTTGTTGATTCATATTTGGCCTCATCATTCCCCCAGGGGGCATCATGCCCATGCCCATAGGCATCATTCCTATTGAACACAATGATTGCTTTATTTTTAGATGACATAATAAACAGTACTAGGTGTATGAGGCTCATACTGCAAGTGTTTCAATCCTCATTTTTCAAAATTAAAATGGCAGCAATTTTAAAATCAGGCAAGCTTTTGAACACTTTCTAGAGACACATTTCAAATTGAAACCATTTGAATTGTAGTAGTTGATTACAACTGGGACTAGCCAAAAGTGTTTGGATTAGCGGGTGTTCATATTTCAAGGTTTTATTAACATGTAAGTCAATGGGAGATAACAAATTCGGAACCAAGAAAAAGCGTTCACATTGAGAGGTGTTTAGATTAGAGAGGTGTTCAGATAATATACAAATTCACTGTAAATTGTTTCTAAACAATTGGCGCAATTTTTAATAGTTAATATGTATAATTTTAGCAATCCACCATACCAAAATATAAGTGCTTACCCATCGGATTGTATCCATAACCCATACCTCCCATTGGGGGCATACCCATTGGCGGCCTAGGGGGATAGGACATCTTGTTGGCTGGTTGAACCTGAAAAAACCTAAATACATTATATTATGTTTTGGGACTTCAATGGTATACAACAGCAGAATTTTTGGAAAGAACACTCTGACTTGCAGACATATAGTGTATAGAATAACTGGGAGACATGTGATCATAACAAAGAAAGATAAAGTTTTTGTCATTATTTTTTTGTGAATTTGCTACTGAAAATAAAGAAGTTTTGATTTTGGTGGAATATTGTTTTGATTTTTTGAAAGAAGGTAAGATGTTTTGCTATTCATTGAAATTCTTAGAAAATCTGACCAATCAGATTGTGCGATGCATACAAGATGCATGCACAACAGCCATGAAGATATGAAAGGGGAATTTCAGCTTCATAACTTAAAGTGCTGAAATATTTCCCTATGTAAATCACAAATCTTTTCATTCTGCCGATATAACTATAGAATTGGTGATACAACTAAGTAAAAAGAATTCTAAGAAATGTATTGAGGTAGTTCCTTTTAGTGAAGGAGGCGTGGTTTATCCTCACATGTTGTGGAAACACTGCCTGAAAAAACATTTGCACGTAGGACTAGAAGTCCTGGAATTGGAGAACTTCATAACCTGGTGAATATAATCAGCTAATAGGAGGACTTTCCAAAACTGTGTTTAGAATGGAAATGGGTAACAAAACTTGGCCACATCTTACACTCGACTGGTAACTCCCTTACCTTATTTTAAATATAACTTGAGACCAACTTATGGGTACAGTATTGTCGATATATTGAGAAAATCAACAGAACAACAAACTGCCAGAATTGACTACAACCGATCATGGGGAGTAAGTCACTCCTCCCTCTTATATTACCGTGCAATTGATCGTGTTTGATCGCGGCAATCGAGGGAAATGCCTTTCAAATGACACAAGCATCGGCAAACTTGGCATGTGCCTGCGGTTTAAAACTTGAAAAATCTGCAACTGCCATTTACGGAGTTCTTGCTTTTGGCCCTTAAATCATGTGTTTGTTACAACAAATTTGATTCGTCCGTCCATTCAAGTAATCTTAATCGAAAGTGCCCTATACCAAATTCTATGGCATCAATGCAAGAGAGCCATGGTATTCTCTTAACTTCTTCTAAGGCCACTGAATCATGGCCTTCATCCAAAGATAAATTCCCGCATGTATAACGGGTCATGTCGTAATCATAAAATTTGAAATAAAATGCCCGCTATTTTTCCACATCACAATTTGAATTGCGAGTTTTGGTCTTATTACCTCACCAAAAATTCCAAAACACACATGAAGTGATCAATATATCAGTTCACATCTTCTGGATCGCTAACTTAGAATTTACAGCCAGTTACTAATGTCAGACATTAACAATATCTCGTCCAGTTTTCGAATATCACCATTATTCTTGGAGCCATTTGTTTTAATTTTAGACAAAATCATGCAATATCTCATCAATGAGCCCAGCCTGTCCCATTTCAATTATTGATTTATTTTTCTGGCGATTTTAAAAATATTCAATAAAATCATGACTCGCCGGCCAGGTTTTTTCAAATGGAGTTCACAGTATTCCAGATGAAATTACCTCTAGCCAAGAATTGGCTTGAGACTCGAGTAAGTATACTCATTCTATGTTACTATATTTGCACACAGCCATCTTAAGATTGATGGCTATGCAAAACTTGATATTCCCAACCCTTTATAAAGGTCTTTTGTACAAATGTAAGAAATCTTGGAATCATTTACCCTACTTCAATCGATGCATAACATTCTAAAGCATCGTTTTTCTAACCATATCGAGCTATCCGGAGTTGGGAGATAGTGTAATTGACGAAAAATGTATTTAGAACTTGTTATTTTCCATGTTGTCTGACCAGGAAGTCTTGCCAATACGCATGTGTGTAACTGGAAGCAGAAATCAGTAACCGGAAATCTCATGGCATGGAGGCGCATGAGCATTACCAAACTTCCTGAGAAGCCATTTTGAAAATTATTGACTCTTCAACATTTTTCGTCAATTACACTGTCTCCTGACTCCGGATAGCCCGATATGGTTAGAAAAACAATACTTTATGATGTTATTCATCGATTGAAGTAGGGTAAATGTTTCCAAGAATTCTTACATTTTTACAAAAGACCTTTATAAAGGACTGGGAATATTAAATTTTGCAAAGCCATCTATCTAAAGATGGCTATGTGCAAATATAGTAAATTCTATGAATGATGGCCTTATAGGTTAGTATGATCTTCAGATCTAAGACTTTTTAGGAAAATATTCTTATATCTTGGATAACCACAAATTCAAACCGATTTTTAATTTTCTCAATTTTCTGAACAGATAGAGGCTAGACTCTAAACAAAATGGAAAATGATCGACTGAAAATAAATAAAAAATTCCTTCATCTAAAAATTTTCGAATAGAAATTGGAAAATCACAAAAGACAGGGGAAAACCAGAGAACTAAAGGATGTTCGAAACAAAAACCAAGACACTGTGGTCTAAGTTGTATAGCACTTACCCGTTGCTTGTCCTGTTATTTGCAATAAAAGCTAAGAAATGATTTGAATTATTGACTTTGTTTTCGGCGTGGAAAATAAATATGGCGACTCTCGGCCTCGTTTTGACGCCAATAATAGATGTCACTTTTGTAGCAATTTGGCGCGGAATTCAAAGCTACTTTGCTGGCCAACTACGATCATAAAGAGGAGGGACCCCCCCGGAAACCCCAAGAGCCCAGGCCAGACCTTAGAGATAACAGACATGATTAGCTTACGTCTCTCGCTTCTGCGCTTACCACCTTCGTTTGTTCGAATTTTCACTGGCTAGTTTGTAGTTTCCAAATACTACGCTTCGATGTGACGTTTTAATAGTCGGCTGACGGCTTACATTTCTTTATGCTGTTTATTCGATATTCGGCTAAGTTGCCCGACTCAGTCATTCAGTTGTGCGTAAAACAACCACCAGGACCTGGTCGAAACCCGGGGGTCGAAAGCCTCGAGAGAAGATAGTTTTGATTTTCACTTAAAATGATATCTAACCACTGTCTAATGACACAACCATCAGAGAATGTGATGATATGCAGCAGTCTAGAGAAATGTACTTGGCGTTTGATTGGTATTTGCATATGTACTATATTGTACTTCAGTGGCGTAGGAAAAACCGCAAAAACGCCAGTACATAGTGTTGAAAAGTGAAAAAAGGCCCATAATTTCCCTATGTTCTTTAATCATATTTTCTCATTGTGCATAGCTTAAGCTTAGGTGTAAAAGTAATCTCGAGCACACTAGCCTAAAGAAATGTTTTATGTTTATGTTAAGCTTACCATGAGATTTGCAAGGTTTTTGTGCCTCTGTTATTTTTCTAACCTGGGCCACAGAGAAATGAAATTCATAAAATTTTGAATTAGTTTTAAAATATTGAAAGTTACCTTATTTCTAATACTGTAGAAAATGCAAAGTGGTCATTATTGCTCTGTTTGGCAAATAATCATAAATACGGATTGAATTCCCTTTCCAACATGCTTTATTTCATGAAAATCGAGCCACTATTGACTATCTTATGAATTTTAAAAGTAAGCTACAATTTCGCCAAATATTCGTAAATCGCGTTCTCTTCACGAATTTGAGAAAACAGTTTTTTCAAAAAAACCTTGATGAATACCTTTGCAATTTTGTGCATGCTCCGTAATGCTTATACAAACTGTGGTATCATAATTATAATGATGAACCTCTTCAAATTTTTGATATATATTTTTTATTCTCCCCTACCCCCAATTTTTCAATTTCACTAATTCGATTTATATTCCGTTGCAAATATCACAAAAGGCAAAATCATGGTCCGAAATTATATTGGAATAATAATTAGTCAGCAATTCTCTATTTTCTTACTGAAACACTAATTGTTATTGGTAGTATTTCTTGAAATATGAATGTAAGACAACGAAAACAACTTGAAATTGTTGCTTATTCAATTACGCGTTCTACTGATTTCAATGAGTTTTCGCCATACCTGCTATCTATTTTTATTTCATTTGAAATATAATAGATTATTATTTTAGGAAATATAGCATTTTGGCACCCCCTAAGTCATGATGACCTCGACTTTGACCTTTGTGGAGTGAGGGGGGGGGGGGGGGTTATTTGTCTTGCAAATTGAAATTCAATTATTCAAAAATGGTTAAAAATCTCACATTGTTATCTGAAAATTAGTCGTCAATATCGTTCGAGAAAATTAACATTTACACTAGGAAAGTGAGAATGAGTTGTGTCGAGATATAGCATTTTAAGCACATTAGAAAGGTATTGCCATGAAATGATCGACGTTTTACGAGCATAAAATTTTGATAAAGAAGATTTGACACAATTATTTCATATTTTTTGGCGGAGTGTTGGATTTGTTACTAGTCAACACATGATAGATTTGTTGCTTTATATTGTTACACCCCAGTCACATTTGTCGCACGGCGGCCGCATGTCGACCGCAGATCAATTAAATCGGTGAATTTCTACGCTCGGTGAATTTCTACTGCGGCTTCCGTACGGCGTATGCAGATTTTTACAGGCCGCAGGGAAGGCGTAGAAATTATAACTCGGATTTATAATATTTGTTCATTTCTGAGGTCCCCGTAGAAATCAATTGGCTCAACAAGATTGAATCATTATTTGTCAATGTTTCACGATCACTTTTCATTTGATATTACATACTAGCACTATGAATAACATTAATAAATAGTCCCGATGTAAATAAAATGAAAAAAAGTATTATTTATCAATAGAAATTTAAAATTCACCGTGCGGCTGCCGTGGGTAATGTGACTGCAAAAGTATGAGAGCGCAGAAATTCCACGGCGAGCGTAGAAATGTTATTGGCCGCAGAAATGATAGACCGCAAGGTCGCCGTAGGAAATGTGACTGGAGTGTTACTGGTCAACACACTTGATAGAATTGTTGCTATTGTTACTGGTCAACACACGATAGAATTGTTGCGTTATATTGTTACTAGTCAACACACGATAGAATTGTTGCGTTATATTGTTACTTGTCAACACACGATAGAATTGTTGCATTATATTGTTACTAGTCAACACACGATAGAATTGTTGCGTTATATTGTTACTTGTCAACACATGATAGAATTGTTGCGTTATATTGTTACTAGTCAACACACGATAGAATTGTTGCGTTATATTGTTACTAGTCAACACACGATAGAATTGTTGCGTAATATTGTTACTAGTCAACACACGATAGAATTGTTGCGTGATATTGTTACTAGTCAACACACGATAGAATTGTTGCGTTATATTATTACTTGTCAACACACGATAGAATTGTTGCATTATATTGTTACTAGTCAACACACGATAGAATTGTTGCGTAATATTGTTACTAGTCAACACACGATAGAATTGTTGCGTTATATTGTTACTAGTCAACACACGATAGAATTGTTGCGTTATATTGTTACTAGTCAACACACGATAGAATTGTTGCGTTATATTGTTACTAGTCAACACACGATAGAATTGTTGCGTTATATTGTTACTTGTCAACACACGATAGAATTGTTGCATTATATTGTTACTAGTCAACACACGATAGAATTGTTGCGTTATATTGTTACTAGTCAACACACGATAGAATTGTTGCGTTATATTGTTACTTGTCAACACACGATAGAATTGTTGCATTATATTGTTACTAGTCAACACACGATAGAATTGTTGCGTTATATTATTACTAGTCAACACACGATAGAATTGTTGCGTTATATTGTTACTAGTCAACACACGATAGAATTGTTGCGTTATATTGTTACTAGTCAACACACGATAGAATTGTTGCGTTGTATTGTTACTTGTCAACACACGATTAGAATTGTTGCGTTATATTGTTACTAGTCAACACACGATAGAATTGTTGCGTTATATTGTTACTGGTCAACACACGATAGAATTGTTGCGTTATATTGTTACTAGTCAACACACGATAGAATTGTTGCGTTATATTGTTACTTGTCAACACACGATAGAATTGTTGCGTTATATTGTTACTTGTGAACACACGATAGAATTGTTGCGTTATATTGTTACTAGTCAACACTCGATAGAATTGTTGCGTTATATAGTTACTAGTCAACACATGATAGAATTGTTGCGTTATATTGTTACTAGTCAACACACGATCGAATTGTTGCGTTATATTGTTACTGGTCAACACATGATAGAATTGTTGCGTTATATTGTTACTAGTCAACACATGATAGAATTGTTGCGTTATATTGTTACTAGTCAACACATGATAGAATTGTTGCGTTATATTGTTACTGGTCAACACATGATAGAATTGTTGCGTTATATTGTTACTAGTCAACACATGATAGAATTGTTGCGTTATATTGTTACTAGTCAACACATGATAGAATTGTTGCGTTATATTGTTACTAGTCAACACATGATAGAATTGTTGCGTTATATTGTTACTAGTCAACAAATGATAGAATTGTTGCGTTATATTGTTACTGGTCAACACATGATAGAATTGTTGCATTTTATTGTAACTAGTCAATACATGATAGAATTGTTGCATTTTATTGTAACTAGTCAACACATGATAGAATTGTTGCATTTTATTGTAACTAGTCAATACATGATAGAATTGTTGCATTTTATTGTTACTAGTCAACACATGATAGAATTGTTGCGTTATATTGTTACTAGTCAACACATGATAGAATTGTTGCGTTATATTGTTACTTGTCAACACACGATAGAATTGTTGCATTATATTGTTACTGAATCGATGCGTCCATACAGATTAGTTAAATTATTGCCCTGGCGTTTTTATTTCTTTGCATGATGTTCGGAGAATAAGATTTAATTTGTCCTTCATGTTATCGAATGTGGCATCAAATCGGTTCTCCGCTTTCGATGGTATTGCTTCAAATTCCCTTTTCTTTATCCCCTCAAGCTTTTCCCTCTCTTCTGGTGCCAAATCTTTAACGTTATCTAATTTTTCATTAGGAAATGTCATTAAAAATACTTCGGGAGAAGAAACTCCAGCTTCGTAACTCTCCGGGTCTTTTAATCTCTGGGCTTCAGCGATAGTTTCATCTGACTTCTCAGGTGGGTTGGTACAGCCATCAGTCATGACAATTACAACAGCCTGAAAGTAAAACATTTATGTTTCATGTGTATGGAATACTGAAAAACATGACAGGTGTTTGCGTGTGTGGACCACTATTGTGATCTCATATGAATTATTTAAAACAGGTTGAAATTAATATAATATTCATGTTAGAACAATTCAATAGATGTCGTCATCGTTATATTATTTTGGCCGCTGAAAGCCACTCCGAACAAAGTATGTTCTCCAATTTTAATAATACAAATAGTACATACAAAATCTATAAAACAATTTAATAAATGATACTTCTGTGGATGGAACAGGGGAGGAGGTGGGAAGTTTGTTTATGTCGGTCGTTTGATGCTTCGATGTTTCTCTGCTGAAGGGTTTCAGGGAAGTGAACAGTGTACTGGTTTGGTGGAAATCTTTGAACTATAAAATATATTATACGCCCCTTTTAGGTGGGCTTTATACTGCATTTCAACCAAAGAGCTAATCGTTCACAACATAAAAACACAAAAAATCCCATTCTTACTTTATGATTTTGTCTTCGTCCATTTTTAGTTCTCAACATGGCCTCTCTGGTCTCCCTTAAAGCTAAATGAGTGGCTGTTCCTTTCCTTGGATTCATTACCATCTTATCTGTCGCTTCCCTTATCTAGATACAATTACATACAATTGACTTTATTTTAGGAGTGACATTTCTTTACACTCACATCACGATACAACAATGACATCACAATATTACAGTGTGTCTCAAAAAATGTTACACTTACAAAAGTTCAATATATTTCATGATTTTGACTTTTCCCCTAAAATATACCTAGATACCAAAAGACTAGTCTTTCTCGAATAAATCCACACCATCAGATTCAAAATCCGTCCATGATTGGCTGCACAGGACAGATTTTATAGACGCATGTGAAATCTGATTTGCGCCAACTTATCAGTGGTTGGACATGTGGTGATCAATTCCTTTTTGGTGCAAGTGCTATGGACAGTGATATATTAATATGATCAATGATCCAGTTGTTTCTTTCCTGTGATACAAGATTTCATTGTCAGAGTGTTCAATTTTGTTACGTAAGATGGCAATAGGATGGTGCAAAGGCCTATGATGTTTGGTAGAACTCTTTAGAAATCAGAAGAAAGCATTGAACTACCCAACGGATTGGCCCCCTGGGTCATCCCACTTTACACCCTTGATTTTTTGAAGGGCCTCTGAAAGTGCTTTACAGCATCACAAACTGACCTAAGTGAACTTCTGCAAAAATAATTGATGGAATCAGTGTGATATTACAATGCTTGTGCGCATGGGCAAAGGTACCTTCGATTTGCTTTGGAGAACATGTTAAGGGGGACCACATGTTTATGTGGATAGACCCAATGATCATATAGACAAATAGGAAAATTACACAAATACTCATTTAAAGGTCAAGCTTCAACTCAGAAGAAAGTTAAATGTTAAAGAAACTGTTCCTCTTTTGTCATTTGGTCCATCCAATCACTTAGAAGTTGGTGCAACGCAAGTTAGATTTTACCATGGGACACTAAAAGCTGTCCTGTAGAGCCAATCAAGGACAGATTTTGAATCTGATGGTGTCAAATTATTCGAGAAAGATTTGTCATTTGGTATGATAAGTAAATGAGACCGACTTGGGCAAGGCTACCAAAGTATATTTTCGGGGAAAAGTCAAAATTATGAAAGATATTGAATTCTTTGTAAGTGTAACATCTTTTTGAGACACACTGTATATGGAATAATAAAATGACACGTGCAATTTTCACACATGGACCAGATGGCCTTCCTATAGATTCCCGTAGACCGTGTTACAGTCTTAATTTAAGCCCCCATGTAAAGTTTGAAAATATGTTTTCATCATTCATTTACTATTTTTCATGAGTTAATAAGTTATCTTAAAGATTCTTTTAGACGTGCATAGTATAGATACAAGTCCTACTGTGACCCCCACTACTCATCTCAACAACCCATGTGACAATTAGTGTGTAGTCCAGTTAGGGGGAATGGGGGGGGGGGGGTCACGGGGGTTGTAGCTAGACTAAGGTTGGACTTCGTGAATGCAACTTTCGGCTGTCGGCTACCGGATTAACCAACTATTTTATGTGCAACTCATTTGAATATGACCTGCCACTATTCCATTATATTTAAATAAGTTGGTCTACTAAAAATAGAATGTTAATTCGGTAGCCGACAGCCGAAAGTTGCATTCGCGAATACAAGCTTAGACTTACATTTTTCTTGTCATTGAATGATGAAATATAAAGAAAGGGTTTAGTCTCAGCTCCATACGTCAACCCCGCCACCATAGTAAATTCAGGTCCTATTCGAATCTGAGCCAAAAGTTGCTGAATGACTTTTTTCATCTTAATTTTGTTATCTGGACTGATGGAATATGACATATCCACAACGAAGACCAAATCAATACCACAAGCCGTTGTGTTCCAGTCAGCTGAAAGTAAACATTGGACGAATGTTAATAGGAATAATTATTATACCATCCTTAGACTCTGTTTTAACTTACATGTGTTTGACCAGTTTATTTTCTTGAACTAGTCTCATTTTTACACCGATTCCCCGATTTTTGGCTTTTTCCAGAATCCTTATATATTATGATATTTAAGGGTAGCCTAAATGTTTCAAAAACATACTTCATAGTCCCAATTATTGACGAAATGCTGTTTAAATATACAAAAGACTGTCTAGGTAGATTCCGGTTTCGAAATATTGTTACACTTAAGAAGTAAATACCATAAATGTTTGGATAAATCAATTCCCTCGCTTAGGAAACTAAAATAGTTTCTCAGAGAAACGATGACAGTGTCTTCGTTGCATAAATGTGGTTTCGTATCATTGCTACGACACGGGGAATTGTCTTCGTTACTAAGCGAGGGAACTAATTTATAAATATCAAAATGAATTCTTCATCTATAGTCTACTATTTCAGAGATGTTATCATAATCCAAAACCGAACCTACGCACTACATACTGGCCGGCCACATATTCAGTTAGAAATGGATGGACAAAGGTGACAAAATCAAGAAAACAAAATACTTAAAACACAGTATTCTATCGGAAGTTCGACCATGCTGAAACGAAGACATTATGTCAAAACCGAATTTCTCGATGCTGAAATTACAATTCTAAATGTTACACAAGGGTCAATAGGCTACTAATATATGTTGTGTTAAAATTCGTTGGTCATGAAGAAGATGAAGAATATTACCAACTCCTTTATCTTCATATGACTTGAGACACCCTCCATCGGCAACACAGGACCTGAAGCTTGCCTTGAATGACGTTCCTTCCGGACAGGGAAATGTTTTATAGACCTTATTTTGACATAAACGATATTTACATTTGTCACCAATCAAAGGAATCTTGTCACCAGCCCTACAAACTAAAAGTTATACAGTTATTTATTCATTGGTTCTTTTGTTAAATCATCATGCCCTTCTTTGTTTAATCTATTCAGGTGTTATACAAAGTATTCGTCGTTCTACAAATTTTCAGTAGTTTTCCGCCCAGTGATGATACATGTCTCTAAGTATTGAACTTGATCTTTATTTTTTGTTATCCTCTTGCAACCATGTCTAGCATTGATTATAGTGTCCCTCTACCCTGTCTCTAGACACTTATCGAGATCATATCTTCTAATCATACATACAACTATTCCTTCCTACTAGGGATATGTAACTTCTAGGCGGTAATCACTTGGAGACGCTACTTAGAGAACATTAAATATGTTACTGTATATCCAATGTTATTAATAAAAATTACCTCTATTGGCATATGAAGATATATCACTTTGGACACCATTCCGACTCCTTGACGGTACTAAAACGAAAGCATAATGATATTTTAGTTATTTCATTTATTTTTATTGATGAGAAATGACGAGGCAGTGAAAAGTCCAAGAGATTCAAAAAAGCATATAACAAATAATTAAATCCATCAAAATATATGTTTATTATGATGAAAAGATGACGATATTTATGTCCTAAATCTAATACATGTTAAATTATTGCGCCAATGCTATGAAACATCTTTAGGTTGTGAATAACTACCTCAAACACATACCTGACTACTATTGGTCAGTGACCAAGGTTGCATAAAATATCAAGTTATATAGTGCATGGGATAACTAGTTGTTATAAACCATATCCTTTATAGAGCTGTCACACGCGTGAGCTCACTGTTTGCCACCGTGTGGATACTTTTGGACAGACGACGGGGTACAGCAAAAAAGTATACCAAACTTCAAAACCAAATTACTAGAATTCTGAGCAATTTCTTTGAAATACAACGGTAACAGCAGAAAACCTTATTTGTCCTCCATCAAATGATACCGAGATCATTATGTAACTGTCATGTATGACTGAGCAATCATGACCATTCTGATAGGTGGTAAAACTAGCACCATGCCAACTTATCTTCCTTTCAACCAATCGGTGTGTAATTGGCTTAGTATTCTTTTTCTGTTACATTATGTTAGAGGACAGGAGTTTCATAATGAACTGGACTGGTGGTTGAGTAACTCTCTTATGTAAAAAAGGTTTGGCAAAAAAGCTGTCCCACACGAATCTACTTGTTGAGACTTTATCAACTTGAGTTCTTCTGAGATAATGATGATTTCAGCAAGGGTGTATTGACTTTAGTGGGGGATACGATTGACTCCAGAGCTGCATATAACCATGTAGAAGTTTTATTGCTGTTCAAGAGGCTCATGTGATCCAATTTCCTGAGAGGGAGGTTGCAATAAAAAGTTATGGAGAATTATGCAAAAAGGTTGAAGAATATAGAACAAGTTTGAATATGAACATTAATAATGCTTTGAACACAAAAAAGCATTCATTGTGCAAGTGTCAATCCCACTTGAATGCTAACTTGGCACAGTACTGATTTTACCACCTTTCATTAAAGTCACGATTGCTCAGTCACCCATGACAGTTACCTAATGATCCAAGTACCATTAGATGGAGGACAAACTAGGCCTTTTACTGCTATATTTGAATTTTTAAGAAAACTGCTCAGAATTCTTGTATCCTGGTGTTGAAGTCGGGTATACTTTTTTTGTGGACGCCCTGTACATGGTGGACAAAACAAACAGTTTTGCAGCAATACATCCCCCATTATACCCACGAGTTAATGTGACAGCTACTTTACATTGATTCAGTTTAAATTATCATACAAGTCGAGGTACAACAGTAAACTACTATCACCAGGCGTATTAGAAAAAAGAGAAACAAGGCACAGGACGTGAACGAGATCACACCATCAAATAGGCAGACACTATGAACTAGGAAAACTGTTCTCCTATTATGTTTACTAATTTCAAGAACAAGAAAACAAGATGGCCGCCCAAAAGTTAATCAGCTCTCAGGGGCGGATCTGGGAACCAACAAGGGGGGGGGGCCCAAACTTGTGGTCTGAGAAAAAAACGTCCGCGCTTGCGCGGAAAAAAATTTTGGGCCCCAAAAACCCAAAAGTGGGCCCAAATTTTGAAATTTTGAGGCCCATTTTCTTCAAAATTTGGCCTAAAATTAAAAAACAAGGCCTTAGAAGGCCAATTTAAGACCTAAAAGGCCTACTTTTTGGGGCCTTAAAGCCTTTTTTGGCTCAAAATTTTTTTTGGGCACAATTTTTTTTTTCTGGGCCCACCCAAGGGGGGGGGGGCCCGGGCCCCTGGGCCCCCCCCCCAGATCCGCCAGTGGCTCTAGTACTTGATATCCTCTATCATTTGTGTAAATTTGAAGGAAATCCGATGAGCGGTTTTCCTGAAATGGCGATGACAAGATTTTTCGAAAAACCTTCAAAATAGCCACCAGAAAACAAGATGGCCGCCCAAAAGTTAATCAGCTTTAGTACTTGATATCCTCTATCATGTGTGTAAATTTGAAGGAAATCCGATGAGCGGATTTTCTGAAATGGCGATGACAAAATTTTTCGAAAAACATTCAAAATGGCCACCAGAAAACAAGATGGCCGCCCAAAAGTTAATCAGCTCTAGTACTTGATATCCTCTATCATGTGTGTAAATTTGAAGGAAATCCGATGAGCGGATTTTCTGAAATGGCGATGACAAGATTTTTCGAAAAATCTTCAAAATGGCTGCCAGAAAACAAGATGGCCGCCCAAAAGTTAATCAGCTCTAGTACTTGATATCCTCTATCATTTGTGTAAATTTGAAGGAAATCCAATGAGTGGTTTTCCTGAAATGGCGATGACAAGATTTTTCGAAAAACCTTCAAAATGGCCGCCAGAAAACAAGATGGTCACCCAAAAGTTAATCAGCTCCAGTACTTGATATCCTCTATCATCTCTGCGAATTTTGAGAAAATCTGACGAGCAGTTTTTCTTAAACGGCGATGACAAAAAGCGGGACGATCACGACCACGATCACGACCACGATCACGATCACGACCACGACCACGACCACGACCAGTATGACGACTATATCCCACCGATGATGTGATAAAAAGACACAGTATGTGCACTGGGGATGAACTGGAAACGAAGACATGATGTCTCCGTTCCAGCATGACTGAAATTCATGACTGACACTATGGCATATTTTACTTGCAACGAAGACGTTGTTCATTTTTGCTGTAGTTATATCCTATGTAGGGTCACATTTGCACTTTGAAACACATTGCAGATGTGTTGGAGGCGATGGACTTTTTTGTGACTGCGCGACCACTTTACTTCGTACAATGAGATATCATTTAAATGTGAAACTGCCGTCTTCTTTTCTCTGAAAAACTGTCTTCGTTTCCTGCCTAATCAAGGGCATTGGTTTGCAATAATTCAAACATTTACTTTCTGTATTGTAATCATTTTTCGAAACCGGAACCGGAATGCATTACACACTGGTCAAATGTTAAGTTGAAAGGAGGAGGAGTTGTTTGTTCAATGGATTGCTTTAAAACATTTTATTGACTACGTATTACACCATATAATTCCAATTATTTCTATCTATGGATTAACACCCAGGTTTTTTAATTTCAAATTTTGAGGGCTGGGAATCCTTGAAAATGAGAAACATTTTTTGGGATTATATGGTGCAATTTTATTGTCAATAAAATGTTTAAAAGTGTATTGATGGTTTTTGGGATGAAAAACATAAGCGAAATGAATGAAAAAATCGAGGAAACAAAAAGTCTTAACTACCAGAAGTTCGGCCATGCTGAAACGAAGACACAATGTCTTTCTTTCCAGTTTACCCCCAGTGAAACGTAAAATGCAATTATTCAGCGTACAGTGTGTTCAAAAAATGCAACCCAAAGAAATCGCTATATCTTAGAAATACTGGTTCAATTATCTTCATATTTTCAGGAAATGAAGAAGAGACTGTGTATGTGTAGCTCCTGTAAATGGTTAGTTGTAAAACATGATCCCTTGGACACCTACTCAAAAGACAGTTGTACTAGGAAAATACGAAAAACGCAGTCAGGGGTGACTGCAACCGCAAAAAAACTAAATAACTTCCCAACCATAGTGTTTTGGCTCTTCAAATTTTGCACAAATCATCCTCATTCACTTAATGGTGAATCTGTAGAGTGAAATCAAAATCACTACAGGGACTTTACAGTCATGGTCGAAATGATTTCAAATCGCAGTCAAACGCCCTGGTTCAGGCAGACTAAAGAAGGCATTTTGACCATGACTGTAAAGTCTCTGGGGTGATTTTGATGAAACTCCACAAATTCACCACATATTGAATTAGGATAATTTGAGCCAAATCTGAAGTGCCAAAACACTATGATTAGAAAGTTATATGGTTTTATTGCTGTGGCAGTCACCTCGGACTGCATTTTCATATTTTCCAAGGACATCTGTCATTTGAGCAGGTGTCCAAGGCATCATGTTTTACAACTTACTGACAACAGGAGCTATACATGAAAAAATGAACATAATTGAATTAGTATTTTCCAAGATAAAGTGATTTTCCATAAGCATTTTTCGTATTTTGCTAGTACAACTGTCTTTTGAGCAAGTGTCCAAGACATCATGTTTCACAACTACAGCCTTCTCTTTCTTCCCAGAAAATATGAACATAATTGGATTTAGTATTTTCAAAGATATAGCGATTTCTTTAGGCTTCGATTTTTTGAACACCCTGTATTAGACAAGTTACATAACAGTAATATCGGTGTATAAGAAGAGACACGGCAAGTGGATTTAGAGCTAGTAATATTCATGTCGTTTTTGACAACTGCGAGGAGAGGTACAAAGTTAAAATGAGAGTAATGGTCAACCAAGTTATCGTTTATCAGAAGTGCCATTGAAAAAGAAAAAATTACTACGACATCCTGTATAGATGTAGTATCTGAATTATTAAATTGTGCAGTCTAGGATCAGAAATAAAGAGGAGGTTCGCGTTCACAACATAAATACAACATACACGGTATCTAAGTAAGTACTTACATCGACTGAATCCTCCCACTAAAATACAAATGTGAATTATATATTTAATGTTCGGTGCAATGACTGAAAATCTCATTTATGTAAGTCAATTCTTTCGAAAAACCATAATAGTCTTAGGTACAATATTAGTGGAATTCTGAACCTTTGAACCAAGATTCAAGATTCAAGATTCAAGATTTTATTGTGTTTCAAACCAAACACTTGGTTTCCTCACAAAATCAATTACAAGACATTTACATATAATTATACAGTTAAAAAAACAACATGCATTGTTTCACAAATACCATACTAATTACTTTAATAGCTGACCTCATTTTCTTGCGAACATTTCGTATTAACTTTATAATTGTTTAGTAGACATGTTCTAATGTCTCATGAGCAATTGTAATGGTGCCCAAGTAGTAAGAGATATTTTATTTTCATACTGTAGCGCCACCTATTTAATTTAGGGATGTACGGTTTCGTTGTCGAAAAATCGTTTTACCCGCAATTTGTTGGAAAGCTACTATTCAAGGTTCTCAAAGGATGGGTATCGATATGGTGAACTTTTTAAACACATGTCAATTTAATGGTCATATTTTGAAAGGTAACAATATGATTTGAAATAAATAATATATACTTTTCTCTATAATTGTTTTAGAAAACACACCAGACAATTCTTTTGTTTTTGGTATCATATGTTGGGAACGAAATGAAACATCTATCCGGACATCATTGGAACAAAATGACATAAACACAACGTGTTTGGGTCTCTCAATATTGTAATTGTACAAAGAAAAGTTTGTTTGATTTCAAAAAGTATCTTATTAATGAAATAAAATGTTTATCTTAATTTTTATCTATTTTGGGGGTTTTTGTTTTAATTTTTTAAATATTTTTGGTAAAATCAACCAGAATTTCCAACAATCAGTCAAAATTAAATAAAGGATCGTATTTTTACAGAATGTCTTCAATAATAGGTTTAAGAGAAAAAACATTGTTGAATTAGTTGCTTAATAATGTTTTAAAAATATATATTCAGAGGGCATGTCTTATCGTTTACAAGAGCCACATGCAATCAAACGCCTTACATGTCTCTTTCGGTGTTACTGCTGCTCACATTTTCTGATGAGTATAGGGGTGTCCAAAAAGTGAACCTCATCGACTGGCTATATTTCCCGTATAACCTGCAGGAATCCATTCATATTTTGAAATGTTGCAGAGAAATGTCTTAAGTTTTTTGTTGGTACCATACATTTTTCTTAGTCTGGAAAGACTGAAAATGGCTTAAATGTGAACTTCAACATCCGCGATTCTTCAACCCTTAAACACCATTCCCCTGACAATGTTTTAGCCGCAGTCTGAAAGACATAATATTTTCTGACTTTATTTTGTTTGGAATCCTGCACATTATGGTGTTAAAACTAGCATCCGACCTCTGATCGTTACAAAGTTATCGTGATAAAAAAAATGTTCCAAGTTTCCATAGACGAAAATATTTTCCAGTGAAATCGCAACATACCCCTATATGGTCTTAAAAATATCAATATCCCCATTGATCTTGAACCAAATCTAATGAAATATGACTCAAAACACTATATATTGAATGTTCTTTTGATTTTTGTATAAGATATCTATATGAAGCGCTTCTCAGATTCTCGGTAACAGGGGCCAAATTTGCCCCCTTTATACTAACTATTTGTGAAGGTAACATGCCCCTTACCTGTTGCTTGGTTAAAGCTGCTTCAAAATAGTCAATGAAACTATGAAATGTGTTTTCTGTTCAAAGAGTATCCCATGTGCCAAATCGTAGGGTTTTAAACTTTTATCTCTCACAAAAACCTGTTTTAAGATCGTGTGTTCCAACAATTTCCGTGAATAATATTCTTGGTAAGAGTTTGCACAATATCTAATTTTCAAAATTTAAGACTGAGAATAAATTAATAATAAATTATCAACAAAATTTTAGTTCTTTTTCTACAACATGTAATAACATGAGCTGATTCTCGCATGTATTTAAAGGGTTCCGATTAGTATCCCGTATAAAAACAATATGGCGGCTCCAGGCGAATCAACTGGATCAGTCCATTTTTAAGAAATAAGGGGAGTTCTGTAAAATCCAGTTTATTGAAATTGTCTTTGAGATAAAGTAATCCGTTTATAATGATTTTGAAAACGTTATCCAAAGAGTGATTGCGTTCAAATAATACATGTACAACAGCCAATATAAATTATTGTATTAGAAAACCGGTTTGTCTTGCTTTGTTTCATTTGTAGGATATTTCATATGCCAAGCTGTGTGCTATAACGTTATGGGGAAATTTAGATGCCAATTTTTCCTTATTATACACAAATAGAAGATCCTGAAACTTCACCCATAAATGTGGAATTGATTTGTCAAAATAAAAATCACCCTTTTATAAATGTGTGACGATCTATAATATACTTATGCTATATAACAGTTAGAGGTGTTGACACAACGACCTCGAGCCTGTGAACCCTTGAGTATTATTCCGGGATCGGGCCTTTTATACTAAACGGTGAGCAACACCAGAAACGAGCGTTCGATTAGCTAAACGATATGCGTCACCCTTTAAGAAAATATATAGCCTGTTGCAGTGGTTCAGTAAGTCAAGGAAGAGCAACAAGTCCTCCTTTATTGATCGTTGACCCCTGCCGATGACAGTCTATATCTCAAAACGTATTAAGACTCATTGTCCAAAAAACTACCATAATTTTAGCATATATTATTCTTATATAAAAAACTGATTCATTGATACCATTTACATCACCAATATTGAAGAAACAATTCAAAATGTCCATGTAATGAATACAAAATTTGTTTGTATTATAGCGTTAAGTTTATAGCTTAGAAACATAAAGCAAAATTTATTTCATATAATTTTCTGAAGCATCTTGTACTCCAAATTGTAAAAAAGGGAATTTAGTTTTAACTAATTTTTTGACCCCATCTGATGACAAACATAACTCAGCCCAAAATCTATTGAACGGCTATAATAAAAAAGACAATACTGGACATGCATTGTTTGGGTATGTAAATATAAGGTAAAATATCGATGCGCTATATTGTGTTACCAGCTCCTTAATTAGACTTCCTAGGAATTTCATACCATGGACTATTTGACCGATTTACTAAGGCCTGATACAAATACTATTGAAGTAAGTATTTATGTTTATAATTATTAATAGTACTTACATCTCCCAACTACTGCATTTGTTCCAACCAAGATCAGGAAGATCAACGGACGCCACATTCTATCAAATACATTCCAATGAGGAAATAACAAAGGTTGATCATTTCATATTACATGGTGTCAAAAAACAACGGCACCCCCTCTACAGCAAAAATGTTACATACCTCATTTGAAAGATTATGCTGGAGTTATGTGCATCATCAAACTTATATTAAAAAAGCTGCATTGTTTGCTACCTCAGTACTTTGTATGCTACTCTGTTACTGGTTTAAGTCAAATCTTCAGAAAGTGGAATATGAAAGAACTCACCCAGATGTCAACTGCACTGAACATATGGGTTCAGTTCGGAAACACAGGGTATAGGAATTGATGGTCAAAGAGCCTCTTGAAAGTAGATACAGTAAGAATGTAATTGTGAAGAATACTATATCTAGTATGATTCGAGGAAAGTGCTTGGGGGATTATGCAATGCTACACCTTTATCTGAATTTCTATTGAAATCACATCCGTCCAGATAAGTTGCTGTTTGAGCAGCAACTGATGGTCATACCAACTATTAATAATCAGCTGTAAGTCTTTAAAATTGTATGATATCTAGCTGAAATTTCTCAGGTAACTTCAGAATTAAATTGTTCCAAAATGAGATATGATACACCATGTAACATTAAGCAATTTTGGCTGTAGAGGAGATGCCGTTGTTTTTGACACCCTGTACATCATTAGGAAGGTAGAAGGCGGAATGTTGTCTAACTGAGCTCATTACTCATTTTTGCACTGGGTTCATTAAATGAAGAAGCATTGTACTTTCAAATTAAGCGAATGATTAAACTATTAATTGACATTTGTATCATGTTACCATTTGTCTTGATAACCATCTAGATTATAATGCTGCAAAATCCAGTATTGTGGATCTGTCATATTACTAATTTATGTATGATATAATAATCATCTCTAAATCTAATATTTACATGCCGTCTGATAGGACGACATTTTAATAATTAACGAATCTCTGTTCACCTCCGCTTGTGAGCTCGAAACTTGCTGAAAAATAACATCAATAAATGAACCGGTCTTATCACAAAAATTAGAATTGTGCTACAGAGCCAAAAATGTGCCCAAGATTTAGAGGAAAATGTGTTAAATTCAAATCCGACTTTTTGGTCTATAGTGCTGTCCCCAGCTCCGATTTCGGTGATCGGCTAGTAAAAAAGGTTTGAGGGTATCATTTTGTTCCAGACACTCTCTAGAGTAAATTATCTTAACTTGAGTAAAAATGTGTGGTAAGTAAATTCGCTATGGGCAGTTAAAGAGGCGCCATCTATTCATTTTCAAACAGGGGGTAGGGGTATAAAATAATTTTTAACACATTTCAATAGTAAAATGACATTGAAATACTAATAAAATTTTATCAAAAACATTATTTACAATCAGTATGAATTTTCTTGTGTGGATTAGGGTGAAAATAAGGGCATATCTTGAAATTCACTACAGGGGCGCCACCTATTTTCATACTTCTACCACGTGTAATAACTTATTTTAGATTCGTTAAGGTACGAAATGTATTGAAAAAATTCATTCTGAAGGACCTATATATGTTCATATCACATACTTAAAATTGGATCAATAGCTTTTGTACTGGCGGAGAAAAAAATTATTGATATTTAAAATTGTGGCATCATGCAGGATAGGGGTGACCATATCTCATATTATTAACTTCCAAAATATGGAGCATATGTATCTCAAATGTACTCAAAATGGTGTATGTACTCTTGCTTTGTCATAATATTACTAATAAGAAGTAGAAAAATGATTGTACATTTTAAAAAATATTAATTCTCATTTTGGCTTCTGACGTCCCAGGGGTGACCATATCTCACCTTAATAACTTCCAAAATATGGAGCATATGTATCTCAAATGTACTCAAAATGGTGTATGTACTCTTGCTTTGTCATAATATTACTAATAAGAAGTAGAAAAATGATTGTACATTTAAAAAAATATTGATTCTCATTCTGGCTTCTGACGTCCCAGGCGTGACCATATCTCACCTTAATAACTTCCAAAATATGGAGCATATGTATCTCAAATGTACTCAAAATGGTGTATGTACTCTTGATTTGTCATAGTATTACTAATAAGAAGTAGAAAAATGATTGTACATTTTTAAAAATATTGATTCTCATTTTGGCTTCTGACGTCCTAGGGGTGACCATATCTCACCTTGATAACTTCCAAAATATGGAGCATATGTATCTCAAATGTGCTCAAAATGGTGTATGTACTCTTGCTTTGTCATAATATTACTAATAAGAAGTAAAAATAATAATTGTACATTTAAAATAATATTGATTCTCATTTTGGCTTCTGACATCCCAGGGACGACCATATCTCACCTTAATAACTTCCAAAATATGGAGCATATGTATCTCAAATGTACTCAAAAAGGTGTATGCACTCTTGCTTTTTGTCATAATATTACTAATAAGAAGTAGAAAAGTGATTATACATTTCAAAAATTTTAATTTTAGCTTCTTACGTTCCTGGGTAATCATATCGCACCATATAATAATAACTTCTAAGATACGTAACATATAATCCTCAAATATTCTCAGAAAAGTCCTGTCTTTTTCATATTACTAATGAAATGTAGAAAAATGATTGCATTTTTTTTAAATTTTTTATTTTAGCCTCTGGTGTCCCAGGGGCTATCTCACCTTGATAACTCTCACGATATGCAACTTATGCATCTCAAATGTGTGCTCAAAATGGTATAAATATAGTCTTGTTTTGTCATATTTATTGAGAATCATGAAATCAACAGATCAGAATCAATGGATTTTGACTGTCTCCTCTACAGCTACATATAATTCAGGGCAAATAATATTTGCTTTCAAATATTTGCATCTGCTCCCCAAACACCCTTTACAAGTACAATGGATGAGATTATTCCCTTGCATACAATGGACCCAACATCTTTTGTAATCCATAAAGGAATCCTTTTAGCCTGTCAATAGTGGGAGTACTTTACTCCATTTATGAAGTAATGGCAACTGCTAATGTAAGGTGTTAATATGTTATCCTGTGGCCTGCAATATATGCACCTTGGATTATACACTGAATTAAGGGATTTTGAGTATGTAAAATATGGGAAAAGGAGCTCTTTGTAATGATAAATCTTTCTAGCCACATTAACATTCTCTAGTTTGCATGTTTGTCATACATCATACATTGATTGTAATTAAATATTAATATATGATTGTGATGTCCCATACTTCTAGGGTCCCAAAGAAGAGCTTAGCTTTTGGAACAATTGCATTATTCTTGGCACGGTAGGCCATACAGTGAATACAATTGTTGAGATTGGGCAATAACAATATAGCACAACATGACAAACCATGCATTGAGAATGTCAATCAGGATTAGAAGTGACTTATCGCCCTTGTAATTTAGCAGTGGGGCAGTTTGGTGTATGTTTGGGCATAAATGCGCCTTTTAGGCCTAATTTTTCAGGATGTTTTCAAAATTTCGGGTCAGATTTGGGGTTAAGGGGCCAATTTTTGTAAATGAGGCTAGGCTACTCACACTACTGATAGGCTACCAGTATACAAAAGATGTTGCATCCAAGGCATGCAAAGAATTATCGTCCATTGTTCCTGTAATATAAGGAGTGTTTGGGGAGAAGATGCAAATATTTGAAAGTAGATCTTATTGTCTCTGGGCTATATGTAGCTGCACCCTTCAGGGGAGACAGTCAAATCCATAAATTCTGAACTTCTGATTTCATGAATCCAATAAATATGACAAAACAAGACTATATTTATACCATTTTGGGCACACATTTGAGATGCATATGTTGCATATCGTGAGAGTTATATCAAAGTGAGATATAATTGCCCCTGGGATGTCAGATTCGGAAGCTAAAATGAAAATTTCAATTAAAAAAAGGTGTAATAATTTTTTTACATCTCATGAATAGCATTATGACAAAGCAAGACTATATGCCCCATTTTTGGTATATTTGAGTTGTATATGTTACATAATTTTAGAAGTTATTCAGGGACGTCAGAAGCTAAAATTAAAATTTTTTAAATGTATAATCATTTTCCTACTTCTAATTAGTATAATATTATGACAAAGCAAGAGTACATACACCATTTTGAGTACATTTGAGATACATATGCTCCATAATTTGGAAGTTATTAAGGTGAGATATGGTCACCCCTGGGACGTCAGAAGCCAAAATGAGAATTAATATTTTTAAAAATGAGCAATCATTTTCCTACATGTTATTAGTAATATTATGACAAGACAAGACTATATACACCATTTTGTGCATATTTGAGATACAAATGCTCCATATTTTGGAATTTATTAAGGTGAGATATGGTCACCCCTGGAACGTCAGAAGCCAAAATGAGAATTAATATTTTTTAAAATGTACAATCATTTTTTTTACTTCTTATTAGTAATATTATAACAAAGCAAGAGTGCATACACCATTTTGAGCACATTTGAGATACATATGCTCCATATTTTGGAAGTTATCAAGGTGAGATATGGTCACCCCTGGGACATCAGAAGTATGTGGTATGAACATATATAGGTCCTTTAGAATGATTTTTTTCAGTCCATTTCGTACCTTAACAAATCTAAAATAAGTTATTACACATGGTAGAAGTACGAAAATAGGTGGCGCCCCTGTAGTGAATTTCAAGATATGCCCTTATTTTCACCCTAATCCACACAAGAAAATTCATACTGATTGTAAATAATGTTTTTGATAAGATTTTATTAGTATTTCAATGTCATTTTACCATTAAAATGTGTAAAAAATTATTTTATACCCCTACCTAGTGGTGTCAATTAACCGCTTGAGCATTAACCGGTTAACCGGGGGTTTTTACCGGTTAAAGTCGGTTAACCGGCGGGAAATTTGAACTGATAATTTCAAATGAAATCTTCATCTTCGATCTTGAAAGTTGAAAAAAATTGGAAAAATGATATATCGGCGTTTATTTTTTACGTTCGTCAAGCTTTACTCTATTCTATGTAAGTAAGCGCGGGAAAGCAATGTGGCAGGGATTAAAGTTGCTGATTGGATATTTGTAAGGAATTATCGGACCTATCACATGTATGAGTAGCTCACATGAAACTGACGCTTGAAAAACAAACAGATTAAAATGCAAAGTAAGCGCGGGATAGCAATGTGGCAGGGATTAAAGTTGCTGATTGGATGTTTGTAAGGAGTTATGGGACTTATGACATGTATGAGTAGCTTACGTGAAACTGACACCATAAAACCAAACGGATTAGCATGCAAAATAGGCACGGGAAATAACAGAATTATACACGGTCAACTAACCGCCCATAAAAACACAGACCGGTCAAGGCATTATCGGCGGTTAACCGGTTAACCGGTTAATACTTGACACCTCTACCCCTACCCCCTGTTTGAAAATGAATAGATGGCGCCTCTTTAACTGCCCATAGCGAATTTACTTACCACACATTTTTACTCAAGTTAAGATAATTTACTCTAGAGAGTGTCTGGAACAAAATGATACCCTCAAACCTTTTTTACTAGCCGATCACCGAAATCGGAGCTGGGGACAGCACTACTATATCTGCAAGGAAAAATTGTCAAGACACAAGTCATGGCTTATTTGAAAGGTCTGTCTCTTTGTGCTAAAACAAAAAATCAGAATATTGAAAAAATCTGTGATAAGACCCCTTTTCCCGTGGCCTGGCTCAAATACTGAAATCTTTCATTTGGATAAAGTGAATAAACTTTCATATACAATAATCAAAATATACAAAATAAGAATACAAGCATATGTCTGCTGTAAAGCTGTTGTGTCTGTCTGCAGAGCATTCCAATACAAATCCAAGCATACCGGGTGTGCCTCAACCAACTTGTATAGACTTCCAGTGCGCAAATTTATCCACTGATGCAAACAATTGATTTCACAGTGCATTGTATTTTTCATAATGTGGCGGTACATCATCAATTTGGTAATTTTTTTTATTTTTTTTTTATTTTTGCAAACTTCTGCGTCAAATCATTCCTTTTACTTTCCTATAACAAAACCCTCTAAATAGCAATAGCAATTGTAGCTCAACGCCCCTATTTCTAGATATTAACATGTCCAGCTTTAGACTTTGTAACGCCCTCTATTTAAAAAACACAGAATGTCAGCAAATTCAATACCGTTCAAAAACCATCTTCCAGATGTAAATTGTGATCTGGGAGTTGTGTTATGAATGAATGAAGTGAATGATTTACACTTCAAAAGGATACCAGAAATACTTGTCCTTGATCCAAAGGAATTAGTTTCCGAAATGACCGAGGAAAAAATTGTGAACATTGAAATTATTGTTCAAAGCACCAAGTAGATTTAAACCAAAAACCAATGATGAATTGTAAGACACACTTGGTATGATTGAATTATGTGTATTTGTAATACACTATCTAGTTCATGTATTTATTTATTTAAGTAAAAAAAAGTTTCATTAGAGAGATTTCGCACCTCGTGAAAGTACAACTTATAACGTATACTTATACTTATAGGTAAACGTACAAGGTGTTTCATAATGTGGGCTTTTCGTCAGGAAAGATCTTCTCGGACTGTAATAAATACAGGTCAAAGGGATGCCATTTGTACTTTCTTGAATTGTAGCATGTTTAGTTGATCCAAATGTGTTTGTCTAGAATAAAATAGGCTCATATATAATACATATGTTATAGACCCATCTCTTCTCAAATTGACTTTTTGGAGATGCTCGTTATGAAACACCCTGTATGTCATTTGTTGAGCTACTGAATGGGTCGTTTTCAGGAATTGCTAGAACCTACTGGTTTGATTGGTGTTTCAAATTGATGGTTAAAGTATTTGATTGGATACTGTTCCCACTCAGCCAATTAATTAAAAAAAATGCTTGCACACACATGTAGGCAAATCTTTATACGGAGATCCAACTGTATACGTTATCATCTACGTAAATATACCGTTTAGTAAGTTCATTGAACTTATACTGATCATGAAAACATTGAAATAATCAACTTGTTTATGTAATGACTCACTTTAAAGAATCATGACTCACTTTAAAGGATCGTGTTTATAATACACTACAACTAAAAGGACACGGAAGCAAGCATTTAATTATAATGTGCATAATCTACACGTGCAGATGACAGTGCATTCACAGTCTCTAGTTGATGGAGCTTTTCTATAACGGGAAAAGTTATGTTCCATTAAGTACAATTTAAAATTGATTTTAGTAAATATAATAGTTCGACATGACCCTTTAAACTATACGTATACGTATACGTTGAACTTTCACTTATGTGCGAAATCTCTCTATTATCTCAATAAATGTTTTTTTATGTAGCATACATTAATCAAGTAAAGTGTCCGGAAAATAATATTATCAAATAGTCATGGTATATCGTACATGAACTTACCTGAAAGTGTAGGTCTTCTGAATGGAGGCCCTTAGTTACTCACCATTTATACAAAGAAAGAAATTTTCATATTCAAACCAGCATCATGAGATTTGCCGTAACCTATCATAAGCGAATTACAAAGATGTCAAAACCGACAAATAATGTTTAATCAGAGGTTAATTATAATCTCCTGCCATTTGAATATTAAATTATAATCCAAATTAGACACAAACTACACATTGCTGATTGACTGACACGACGATGTGTATTTATCTCTATTAGACAAGACGTAATACCGACTACCGGGCCCTCATAATGTACATATATACAATCCTAGATGCAGAATCTTTAACACACAAGAACGCGAAAACTCCTATAAATATTCTTATTTTTCAGTATATGAACAGTTATAGGATTTTGAAATTGTCAATTTCCAGAACTTTTACATTCAACTAAAATCTTTAACAGGCCATATTTTTTATATTTTCCATCTTATTGTACAACATAACATCAACCAACTACTCACTTGGATTCACAACTGATCGATCATAAGCAACCAGCGCGCGCATTATAGGGTTTCATATGACGCGGTATCGCCGCCAGAACCGCGCGAACAATCGCGCGAATAATTCATGTTTACCGCGCGAATGTTTTTTTATTCCCGCGGTTGATTTTGACCAATAGAAATCGCGCGTCTGCATAAGTATCCGCCCGGAAAATTGTGTTACCGTCGCCCGATGATACCCAACCAATGGGGTAGCACTAAAATGCGGCCTAATTATGTTAAGTTCGCCCGAGTCATACCAACAAATGAAAGCCAACGTCACAACTCGACAAGAGGTTCACCATATGTTATGATCTCCAGCCCTCAAAGAAAGTACATGCAATTTATGATAACTGAAGTTTATATCGTCATAATGTTGTTAAAAACTGATTATTACGCATCTGAAATACAATTATATACTTAAGGAATAAATAATGATAGGCCATTCAATATGGTGAAATTCAGCACGAGTTGGACAGAATGTTGTACAAAGCACGAACCGAAGGTGAGTGCATTTGTACTAACATTCTGTCCAACGAGTGCTGAATTTCACCATATTGAATGGCCTATCATTATTTATTCCGATTCAAACATAAAAATTAGTAAAAGCCGTGTCTGTGGAACGGGCATGAAGGAAGAATACGCATGCTGTCAAGATTCTGAAGAACAGCTATCCCCGGACAGAGCCCCAGATGTGCAGCTGAGATGTGACGTCACTCAAAACAATGCAAATTGCAGATTGAATAGAGCATCTATGGAAAATTAGAGAACGTTCTATATTGGCTATGCTGCATTCTGATTGGTTGAGAAATTCGAATAGAGCACGGTCATGTTTGAATATCGTATATAAGTGTTAAGTGTTATTCCTCCATTTGGTTAATAAAAGTTTAAATCACTTAGTTTTCAATGCAAATAAGCAGATGAGTTAATGATAACAACTTTGATAGGAATTCTTTCTCATCGTGGAGAAATAAATCATTATATCACCAGGAATTTTATTAAAACTCATTTTTGCATGCCATGCTATATTACACTTATATTTCACATCTAATTTATATATACAGTAATCAGTAATTGTGAAATTAAAATGCATATCTACTAAATGTTTTAATATAAATACGTCGGACTAGTTTTAGGCAACAGATAGTAGAACGCACACTGATACAGTGTTTAAATTGGTTTTGCCCTTTCGCTTTTCTAAATCGACTCATGATGTCTCAGTTGTAACTTAATGTAAAGATTTAAAAGTTTAAAACATTTAAAAGTTTTTTTTCAGTTCAAGAGATTATAAAAGAAAAATTGACAGAATTTGATATTATTTTGTTTATTGTTCTTTTAATGTTAGACATAATTCTGTTTATATTGTTTTGGTTTTAATTTTTGCAAGGGATGACTTGAACCGGGTTCATTAATGCATCATTAGAAACTTTCCTCGAATTAACCTAAGGAATTTCAAGTTTAGTACCCCGAGCACAAGGGCTTTAGAAAATGTATTCCATTATTTCAGTTGTGTTATAAATGGGATAAAGGGAGATTAAAATCATATTTAATAGAATCTACGCCATTTGTCTTCAATATTGTTATCTACCATAATCTAAAATTCCCGTTCATACTCTCTGCAAAAAAGTGGTATAAACCTGGAACAATATCCAGTGGATATTGGTATCCTGGCTGCAAATCCATGCGTATGATTAATTACAATGTTAAACATTTACAAAACTAAATTCACTTAACCTTTTTAAACCACATGATTGTATTTTCAAATGTTGGTAATATTTCCGAATAAAAAGTTGAGCAAATGGAGTAAGTCAAAACCAAATAACACGACTAATGAATATTGGTTAACTACGTATTTAAGTAAACATTTTGTGATGGGTACTATGAATAGGCAGACTTGTAAATACCATTATTTATCCCTAAACTGCCGTTTTCAACGGTTCTAGCTACATCATGAACTGTTCGCCGAACTCCTCTAATAAACTGCTTCAATTCGGCACCCCTACCAGCAATTAGATCAACGAATAAGAAGATTTAGTGGTTGAATCGAATATTTTGGACTTCTAATCAAAATGGTGGCATTCTTTTGAAAACATGGTTTTGAATGGTTAATTTAAGTCGGGCGAAGTTGAGACTTGAGAAACAATCGCGCGAATAAGTTATCACTTTCTATTGGTTGATTATGATCGCGCAACTGTAAAATTGTCGCGCGACTAATGAAATAGTCGCGCGATCATTCGCGCGGTTCTGGCGGCGATACAGCGTCATAGTTTCAGTCAATATTATGTATTGTACAGATGCTCATGATCAGTTTGAAAATGTTCAATAAATACGGTGTAACAATATTTCATTTTTTTTGATAATGTCAAAAACAACGTTTTTACAAGACATAATAAATGAATGATAAAGAGGTATTTTCGAACTTTACTCTGATGGGGCCTTAACCGATATGTTGATTCAATACCGTAACTCGATAAACCCGGGAATAAATCCCTTTAATTTACCATAATTCTTACAATATTCGACCCAATGTTCTTCCTCTATAGTCTAGAAGGAACATCAAATTGATCAATAGACTCCGAGAAAGAATAAAAGTAACATATTTGATGCAATACTCACCGTAGTCTAGACAACGAAATACCAACTAAGATGTGATTCCCGGATCTACGATCTACGACTTTCAATTACTTATACAAATTGTATACATTCGTATTACAATCTCTTTGATAATGTCAATCCATCCATTGGTGTAGTGCACTCTTGTTTGTTAGTGTTTAATGTATCGATTACGTTTTATGGACATGAACTTTTAACATTTCTTCTTTCTTCTTACTTAGTCAAAACAACCGAAATGAAAACAAGTGGGTGTTTACATGTAAGGATACAATTGTTTTTCATCTAGATCTTAAAGTATTGGCTTTTTACTGTGAAATTAATGCGATTCTAATGAATTGAGTATGACAATAAAGATAAAGTGGACATCCTTTGATTTTGAGTTGTATGACTGATGTATTGCACTTATTTATTGAAGCAGTGTTGATTTATATATTTTGATATGTTGTGATCTTACAAATGACCATTGAAATTTCATCTGCATCACATCAAGGTAAAGTATCAATTGTATTGAGACATCTTATTTCATTTGAATTGAATATTGAAAATAGATTTGATGAGACGATAAATGTCACGATGCACTTGATCAATTAACGTGTGAAATGTGTCTCGGGTGCACTTATACATATAATTATGTATATTAGTATTGTTTTACATAACATGAATCTTAAAACCTATAGCTACTACGTCTGAAGCATATGTACTAAATTATTTTATTAGTTAATTTTGAAAATATATCCATGTCCTCTTTGTCTTCAGTAAACGACCTATTTGGTAAAATTTCTGATTAGAGGACTGCAAAAATACCAATAACTCCAAAGTAAAATAAAACACATAATAATAGGCCAAAGGATGTACCAGCCTTTATAATCATCAATAGTGTCCCATATATCCGGTTAAGAAAATGGGGAAGGTCAGTATTCAATGTCAGTTAATAGCAGTCATGATGTATCACTCGTCATTTTCACATTTCATCCACCAATGATCTATTGAATTATGAAATAGATGTTATGAATGTATTTTGGAATAATTAATAAAATTATTGTCATATTTTACAAATGAGTCATTTCACCTTAACTTTATTTTGTCATTTTATTAACAACTCATCTAGAGCTAGATGTAAACTAGGCGTACAAAATACAGGGTGTCCAAAAAACAGTACCGTAGGAAAGTTGAATAACTCGGCCAATTTTTTTTGATAATAATCTGCTTGTTGAGTCAAAATCTACAGTTCCTTACAAAACATGCCCTAAATGTGCACCTCTCCTCTCTATGCACAATTCAATCTGGCGAACAAAGTTGTTGATGATCTTCCCCCACACATATCTTTCTGAATAGACAAGTTTATTCCAAGAACAATTGAAAGTTGAAACTGAGGCTTACATCCTCCTGATGAAATGTTACAACATCCATTGCATTCTGAACAATGCGTTGCCTGGGTGGCAATGACGAAAAATGAAATCATCAGTCCTTTTTGATTCGAAGGTGACTGGGGACGATGCTTTGGTGGTCAGCTCATCAGTCGCAGAACGCAAATCATATGGGCAGTTCATTTACCAGATCTAAATCCCCCAGATTTTTATCTTTGGGGGTTTCTCAAAGCCTATGTGTATACTGACAGGCCACTAACAATCTTAGGAGGGCAACAACTACCCCAATATGTACCATCCCCATTGATATGTATAGGTTAGGGTCATTAACAACTTGGTTCACAGTATTCGTTTGTGTATAGAGAGGAGAAGTTCCCACTTTGAGTACTGTAGTTTTTGACACAATTGACAGATTACCATCAAACTTCCAGAACAAAATTCACATAGAATAAACTTAATAGTTCTAAAATTTCAAGGCAAAATATGCAAAATTGACTGAATTATTTAACTTTCTTACGGTCCTGTTTTTTGGACAACCTGAATATCAAAAGACTAGTATACATGTCATCTATAACAAAAAATAAAGTATGG